TAGCCCAAGAAAAATGTTTATGCTTTATTCTTTTAGTCATCTCTCTTGAAATAAAATTAACTACTTTTTTAATTTTATTAATATAATGGTAATTGTAGTATCTAGGATCAAAACACTTGCCTCATTAATGTGCTTTAATCTTAAGGTAAAGACAGTAAATTATCGACAGTGGATGGGGTGATATGAGTTAATTAAATATGTTTTAAAAATATGTAATCCGGTTATAAAATGAATCCGAGAGACATCAACACACAGGCAAACTTATTGCCATATCATGTTATATTCGATATACTTGATGTAATGAGACCATATCAAAGGTTGCGTTCACCGCGTCGTTGATAGTTGACAATGCTTCTATCTGATATATCTGAATAACAGTCGTGAAGGTATATTTATATACTTTTAAATTTGTTAAAATATTAACACATAAACCGGAAACAGAGGATAACTGTTCAAGACAGAAAATGGTTGGCGCGCAGCCACACTATAATGCAATCAGGGTAAAGTGCTACGCCACAATCTGGTTCAGTTAGAGAAGAAGTAATGGACTTCACAAGTGTAAGCTGGATATAGTTAGTGGAAAATCCTTTTTAAAGATTTACCACTCCTCTGGAAAATCCTTTTTAAAGATTTTCCACTAACTATAGCCCGATATGTTGGGGGAAATATAACTTATGATTGCTGAATCAAATTCATATGTTAATGCTGTACCTGTTTTTAGTACCCAAGTAGTAGAATTGTGGGCTGATCAAGTGTTACGTTCACCACTACATCGACAGTTAACAATGCCTGTATTACTACCATTACACGACGTATTAATGAGAATTATTGGTATTTTTTTTTTCTTAATGTACTGCTTATGTTCTGTATTTATTGTCTGTATTAATTTTTATCGTAACGTAGTCAGTAGATGCAGTAATATAGAAATTTTATTAAGCTTTCATGTCATTACCAGAAAGCAAACTTTATAAATTATATTTAACCGAAGTTTGAAGAAGTCCCCGGAGCCATTTTCAGAAATTTAGCTTTTTGTTGTAATTAAACACATCTTGTCAAACTTCGGACGAAATGTTTTTCATTATAACAAATCTTTAGTTATGAATTTAGAAATATACCTGTCTACGAGGGTATTCTTTATTTATTACTAGTACCTATCTACTAGATAATAATTATTATAGGTAGTATATTTAAATTATTGCACTAATATGTACTTTGCAGATCAGTAGGTACATACATTGGTCGTAGCTTGATGTCGTATAGCCTTCTTTGACAGATGATAGATATTTGTATGTGAAAAGATTAAAGAATTTCAATCTAACAGAATTAAATGTATATATATATACAAAATGTATATAAATAAAAAAATATTAAAATTTACGCACTTCGATATAAGTTTGTGAAACTAATACGTTTATACTTTTGACAGTCTTTTTATGAATAAGACGCGTTTTATAATTGAAATACAATTAAGCCAATAATGCTAATTATGCTCACTATATTATATTACTATAAACAAAAATTGATTCTACATATTTATTCAAACTATTCCATTAATTTTTAAACCACTGTAATAAACGGAAACAAGTACCAGAATCTGTATAATAAAAGAGACAATGAACGTTAAAATAACATATTTGCATATTATGTGTTTGCATTAATCAACAGCCCGTCACGGACCGCTACAGGGTGATCAAGCTGAGTAATTCGATTATGGAATACGATACGTCGATATTGTCACGCCTTTAATTAAAATGTTACGGAAACAATGCTAAATAAAGATTAAAGGTTATTATGCAATTTGATTGGTTTAAACTGGAAATATTGTTCCATAATTAAAATAATATGAATTGAGTTCTTACGAAAATCTATTTCATTATTACATAGTATAAAATAAAGTCACTGTCGCTGTCTGTCCCTATGTATGCTTAAATCTTTAAAACTACGCAACGGATTTTGAAGCGGTTCTTTTTTAATAGATAAACTGATTCTTTCGGAAGGTTTATATGTATAATACATGTATACCCGTGCTAAGCTGGGGCTAATAGCTAGTATATTAAAAATACGTTAGTGTATCTATCTGATTATTACCTTTTCATAAATAAATAACCGAGCAAATCGAATTTTTACGTATAAATAGATTATATACATTAATATATGTCCATAGTTTGTTAAATTATCGGTATAATGTGTCATTCCCTACCTAAACAGATATTAAACTAGATAGCAGCATAATGTGTAGTTAGTATTTATTAAACGCCATAAAATTTTTAATGTCTCTAGACGGTATTGACAATGACACCTTTTTTATTATTATTTTTATTTTTTAATTTGGAATAAGTAGGATAGGCAAGCAAATCTGATATATATAAATCTTAATGAAAGTGATGATTTAAATTTGCACCCAAAACAAACGAATTTCCGTTCCTTTTTATATAGTGGATTTTTACCAATATTAATAGCTTTCAATAGGTGAAGAATGTTTAAAATCGGTCCGGTATCTTTTTATTATATCTATTACAGGTCAAGTCTTACTTCTTTATAATATTAGTATACACAAAAAAATTATAGCTGTCTATCAGTCACCTAATGATGTACAAAAACTTTTATATCCTTTGACCAAGTTTACTGTAGTCATTCCATCGTGCACTGCGCTTTATGGACCTTTCTCTGTATTGTCTACGTCCCCGAAGGCGTATTTCTTACAAACAATGCGTTGTATAGGACTGAAGGTGAATTGAAGGAAACTGCCCTTCAACTATTATATACGTACTCGTATTGTGGTAATATATTAGAGATGAAAAGCTTTCATATATATATATATATATAAACTTTCTATTTACTGGTGAAAATAAAAGATATGGTGTTTCTTGTCTATTTTGGACACTTTTTCTGTCTACGACGTGTTATAATTTCTTTTAAAAGATTGTTTATTATTGTTGAAATGTATGTCTGTATACACTTTCAGTCCGAAATATCACCATCAAACTCCAAATACAAGAAAATTTATGTTTAAAAAACTAGGAATCATTCTGAATTTTAGAAGCGATAACCAATAATAAGATTAATCACGGGTAAATATATAAGTCGTCATTTAGAAAGATGTGATAAAAAAACAAACCATGACGAAGCTGGAATAATTGCCAAATATGCCAGGTTGATTTATGGTATGTACTTATGTTTAGAGGAACATCTTTTGCTCTTGCTTCCTTTCAAAGGAATCAACTCTAATCACCATTACCAACTGTAGATAAAATTAAAGCACATACAAACAGAAATCCCGAATAGCCTTATGCAAAGTAACTTAATATAAGAACTTTTGAATATTCATTTCATTTTAGTCTGCCGCCCATTCGGAATGCAGATTCAGCCGAGAAGGATGAGCAAGAAACTTGCCTTATACTCTTTAAAATAAACGTCCAACATTCATTAATTTTTCACTGCTTTGTACAATAACTTTACACTATTAAAATTTTGTGTGAATCGTGTAAAATATTAAAGTATTACATAGTACCATTGAGACAAGACTTGGGTTGCCAAATACAAAAGGTATGATATCATATCATAGTAATGCCAAATCACACATGTTTACTGACTAGCCACAGATAAGAGAACACTGTGTAGCCTTGACCTTGTACCCTTAGATTTCTATTTGTTTAGGACATTACAGAACATGTTAGGTGAAGGAAGGTTGACATCAAAAGCCCTAATTTTTAGGTCAAAATTGTATACTCAGCCTTTAAGTTGATCTTTGGTCAACAAGTTATGCTAGCGAATAATAATACATATTTATTTTGCTGTTATTTTAGAAAATTATAAATTAACACGATATATATAAATACGACTATTATCTTTTTCATAATAAATGAATAGGTAAATAATTTTATATATATTATTTACCTATTCATTTATTATAAATATATATATGATTTTCTGGCACTTATGAATTATTTTTTTACTTTTCGTACCATCCAGTTCGGCTAGCTACCTCAGTTCACAAGAATCTGCTGAATTTTATATTATATTTGCATCACAGCCGTATTTTTATAAAAGATTTATTCGCTATTTTGGGAACGATTAAAAAATAAGTATCGATTAAGTATAAAATTATATATAATAAGTATAATATTTTCATACACGTATGTATATCTATATATATAGATACACCACGTATTAATAATATAATATAACTCAATTTATAATATTTAAATTCACCTTCGTTTAATCGCATATTCGTTCCTGAAAGGCTTCTATTTATGACATTGGCCGAGCTTATCAACCTCACTGTCTGTTTTAAAGCCACTCGAAAGCCTGGCTTTAGCAACTGTTATCTAAAAGCAACAACAGTATTGGCTTAATATGACGTCTGCAATACAGTAAAAAATTATGATGCATACTGAATTTATATTTACAAATACGATTGGCAAAAATTTTCTGCAAATACTTACGCAAATACTAAAATATTGTTACGTAATTAGTAAGAAATTGAATAATATATTAATCACCGTTGTCTTAGTTATGGATTCGGTTTGTTAATGGTATATATTATAAGGCGAAAGAGAGTTGGTCGTAAAACAACAAATACTATTACCACGCATTAGTTGGTTTCATAGAGATTCGAACCTAAGATCACAAAGGGCTACCAAGGGCTATATCACTACACTACTGCTCTCTGAGTAAGAACACAAATAAATATAATACGTACAAATAAATACAGATTTATGTTATATAATTATCTGTAGTAATATTAAGTTATCTGTGTCTGTAGTAATTAGACATAAAAAATGTAAAGATATGAATAGGAAGTATATTTCCAAAATTATAGCAAAAATTACAATAATTTTCTATATATATTGATCTCATATTAATACAGGAACAAAAAACTTCCTTAACACGTGTGAAATACGTAACAAGGAAACTTGTTCGTCGCGTAAAGTAATGGTATAGGTTTATAATATCAATATAAGGAAAAGTGAAAAAAAATATCATTCCTTTTTACCTTCTTTCCAGGTGGCAGCGTGGGCGGCGAAGGCGTGTCAGTTTCTACTCAGGTGAGCTTTATATCCGGGGAAGACAAGTTCAATAGGTGGGATAGTGGGTTTCTATTTGTTGAACTTGAGTTTGTCCATTCCGAACGTTTATACGTTTCTTTTATCATATACCACTATGTTGTTAAATTATTTATTAAATTTTATTCTTATCGATCTCACTGTTTCTTACTTTTACTACACTGTAATATTTTGTCGAAGACATGTTTTCATATTAAGCTCTAACATTTTAAAAGAGTGATTTAGTAGACACTCTAATTCGATATAATTATATCTAAATGTTTAGAATGTTGCATTTATCACAATAAGTTGCATTCAACTTACACAAATAAATGCCATGTATTTGTGATACCTTTTTTATCGTAACACATTTTCTATACTCATCTTATATGTATAGAGGAGTCATTTTAAAAAACAGAGACTAAGATAGGCATAAAATTATTAAGAAATATCTTAATAATATTATAAACGCGAAAGTTTCTGAGTATGGATCTCTGTTACTCTTTCAGGCAAAAACTACTGAACGGTGATGAAACTTTGCAGTAATTTAGTTTATGCATCAGAATGATATATAAGCTATATTTTTTATTGAAATTTAACGCGAGTGAAACTGCAGACACAGTTAGTCTTTGTTAAATGTATCATAGATCCTCGTCTTGAACATCGAATTTCAATATTATCAATATATACACATACACATATTATTATATATACCTCTTAATTTCTTAGATTTATAAAAAAGGATCCTTCAGATATTTATTGTTAAATATATATTTTCTCTGGAATGAGCTTGGTTTAAACGTCCAAATGAAAATTACTTTTGTTTATCGTAGAAACGTATATAGGTATCGTAGTATCGTAGAAAGGTTTCATATTAATTTGGTAATCTAATTAGATTCATTAACCTTAACTTCATCTTACCAGTCATCATTAACTGTTAAATATATACAAAATGCTTATACAAAACAATTTATTGATAATACATGTATAATATAAGATAATACAATGCGATGTGGTAGTATGCTTGACTACCTGGCGCTTTCAAATCTACATAGATGACGCAAAAAAATATTTTATATATCACATTAACTCTCCGGTAATGAAAACACCAATAACAAACCCAGTTAATCAAAGAGCTCACGGTAGACTTAACCCCTGGCACTTTAGATTCCGTATGGGTATAATGTTAACATTTAGATCTAAATTTATATGTGTTTCAGTCACAATAATCCCTTTTACACTATCCAGAATAACAGTAGTGAAGGTACTTATATATTACATTATTATAAAATAAAAAACATATGTCCATCGTCGGAATGTTTAATTAATGCTACATAACCTTGTCAATAATGTAATAAAGAATTTCCAAAAAGTATGAGTTGGAAAGTAAATTACAAAGGAAAAAGACCCCTTCTTTCCAATTAACAAGGTTGTAAGCTTGTTACAAAAAATATTACGGCCACGGATAGAATTGTTTCGAAGGCCAAGGTTATTTAGAAGGTCAATAGGTTCCTTTATGAAATTGTAGAATACCAAAAATATTTAAATTTTTAAATTTTTGCATTCTACGCATTATTAACATACTTAATCGGTAAATCATAAATAATAACACAAATAATTAGTTATGATGCAGTGATAAATAAGTTAAATAAAATCGGTTTACAAGTATATGTATATATACTGTGAATGTTATGCATTGCAAGAACAATAGTGTGGGTAGTTAAAAAAACTACTGGCATCTATAGACATTGATTGATTGACATTGCTGTACTCCAGCTCGTGATCACGGCGAGAGCAATCTAGTCGAAACGTCAAGAGCACCTCTCTTGACGTTTCGACTAGGTTGCTCTATTAAATTTAATATAATGGAGTAATTGTGTGGTAAATATATTTCTTTACCATAAAATTATTCGTATTTAGACTCGATTATTTACATAAATATATTAATAATGTGTACCAATCAAAATTTATGTCTTTTTTATTTGCTAGTAAAAGCATTCTAAAAGTGTTGATATATTTTAAAACATTATTTGTAAATTATATTGGAATGGTGAAACTGCTTTTACTGAAATGCTTGCGGAGTACAAGCAGAGGATAGTAGGGTTAGAATCATGTCATGTCAATTATCAACTCACTCCATGAGGATTTCTCCAAAAAAAACACGGTTTAATATTATGACCTCTACATTGGAAATTGTAGTACCAGGCTAATGTAGTATACAGAAAGTTAGATCAGGTTTTGTATTATAACCATTACAATAAAATGTGTAGCTGTAGGTCAATATGGTATACTGGTGGTATATGGTGGGTTTGGTTAAATTTCGTCTTGACTTACAATAGAAATCAATCCAAATGGTATCGTAATCGTATCGTATGTTTTTGATACTATTCTATAAGAAAACCTTCATTATATGTAAAAAAGAATTAGCGACGACGACTTGTTGGCCTCTTGAGGTTCTCGCACATACGCAACCTCTAGTCTAAACAAATATATATATATTAAAATTAAATCCTTACGATTCCAACCACATATCAACCGATTACTGACTAAAAGTATTAATATAAAAACTGTTTTATAGTGTAGTAATATAGAGGTTTAGAAATTTTTTAGGTCTCTTTGTGTTCTAAAAATAACAACAAGTTTTCTAACACAATATTCTTTTTATTCTGGAATATATCACTTCTTTTGATGTTTTCTTTCAAATCTGTCATTCACAATTCTATGTACTCTACAGTAGCCCCTTGGTGAAGGTCGTCTTAAAAAAGACACTTTCCTTCTTTATTTAATCTTTGTCCCCAAATGAAAAATGTTATTGTCATAAAAATGGACATAGAAATAAGTGGGCTATAAATTTTACTAGCTACAGATGTTTTCTTTTCTTTCCCGAGGTATTACTGAGGACCATCTGCAACGCGATTTTCTTATAATGAAATTCCATCCGAGGCGTAAAGACTCGTGAAAACCCTTTATTTCAGAACTCAAGGTGTCCGTCGTTGTGAAACGTACAAACGATGAACGCGAAGCGATTTGCATCGAGCTAAAAATTTTAGATTATGTTACCCTAAAATATGAACTTTCATTTTGAGAAAATTTGTAAGACGTCACTGTACAAATACTTTTGTAGAATAATTTTTAACGAAAGAGAAGAACTGAATAGACAATGCTATTTAAAAATACAGTTAATATAAAAGCAATATTTTTTGATGTTGCTAAATTATATTACGAAAACTAAATAATATTAAACACTTCAATTATGCAAGTACATATACTTAAGGTAATCACACGTGATTAAACAGGTGAGCTTATTAGTCTCACGAAAACCACAGAGGAGAATGAAAAAGTGGATACGAATCTGTAGTTTAAATTTTAGTAACTATGACACTTTCTGTTTATTTTGCGATATAAGATATTTCAATATATCTTCGCGTTAAATCAGTTCCATATGTTCCTACATTTATGGGCAAAAAGGCAACAAAAAGACAAACACATTGGCGTTATAATAACAGTATAGATTACACCATTAAGGATTGCCAGGAGCAATAAAAACATTATTAATAAAAATATATTATATAATAACAATACATCAATGTATGTTGTAGCTAAAAAGATGTAATTTTTTTATTATGATAAAAAAGTAGAAATAGAAATTTTAAGTTACTCTTATTCTTAACTTAGACTATACAAATGTGAAAGACCGTTGACGACCGAAGCTTTTAGGCATGCATTCATTACTCGAGAAGATAATCATTATTCTTCATTATTTTAATTATTTCACGAGAATCTACCACAGAATATATATGTATATACAAATATATATGAAGTGCGTAATATCTACAGCAACACTTAAACATGTTATAAATAACCTAGGATTATCTAATTGTAATACTTTTAAACTAAAAAGGTTTTAATACCAATAAAATCTATAAAATACTTTCTAATTACACGAATTATAAAAAAATATTATTACAAGACCTCTCTTTAGATTTTCATATAACTATATTTATTATGTAAACCCAATAAATAATATGCTGTAGACCAACCTGTTGGCAACTGTGAATATAAAACAACTGCCAATTTTGTGGTGAACTTAACGCTTGACGTGCTCACATTTTGTTCGGTATATTTGATATGTGATAACCATCACCTATAATATATGAACAGTACCATAGATATCACGTCGTAATTTTTCTTGACTTGTTGCCTTTCGTGCATTGCCTTTGTTCCGGAGAACTAACGTGTCATGCCCATACGCCCTTGAACCTTAATACAACTTATAAAGTACTTCGAGATTAAAGTAAGTGAGACTGAATTGTCCACGCAGATGATTTTGTACAAATACAGTACTATAGTACTATAACATAGTAACCTAAAATGGGATATAATTCGATCCTGTTTTAGATTACGAACTTATCAAACCAATAATAACTTATACAAAACTTTAAATAGCTTTCTTATGTTAATAATACTAAAAATATTAATCCTATGTCTAGACATCTCTGAATTTCAGAATTACACAGAAAATCCCCTGAGATCTAGTTCGATAGTTACAATAATATATTACAAATAGCTAACGGTAACAATTCCATTTGTAACTCGATTATAAACTATACAAAACTATATTACTTGATTTAACATTTCTTTGGAATAGCTTTACGCCTTAGGATAACTTTTTATTCTTACATAGACCACTTCAAAATGGCCTCACGTTCAAATTTTATGATGATTAAAATAAAATAATTATTTAATTTCTAAAAATAATTGAACATCAAATCTTCCTTCACAATAATTGAAATAATATTATTATTGATCAACTATATCCTCTTTAGACATGAAACTATTGTGGTTAATTTAGACATAGTGTTTTGTTATCACATAAAATATATTTTAAAGTTTCTCCCTTTTAATTTAATGACATTTTTTTTTAAATAATCGTCTAACTTAAAATCCTATTTAACTTAACATCAAAGCTTTACAATGATCCAATAATACTATTATTGTGGTTCTGTAATCTGTTTAGTCATAAAACTGTTGTGATCTTAATTTAATATTACGGTCTGTCATTAGGGAAAAGCGTTCTCACTCAAGAATTTTTGTCGTATCGTATTCGTTTTGTTTATTACGAAAGAAGGGAAAGCTCATTTTGAAACGGACTGGCACAATTTCATTTAGATGCGATGGAAACTTTGATAACGCTGTAAAATGGTATGCTTTTAAAGACTTTTTTACAGAATTCTGAAGTTAAAATATTTGGTTTAGTGACTTTATGCAAAAAATGTGATTGTTTTAATATTATTATTGTTTTCTTATGTTTTATGAACTCAACAGTTAAAAGTTTATCCAGCTGTCTGTTATTAAATGCATTAATACCTATTATACGTGTATTTTTATTAGGTATCTAATTAATAATTCAGTTTTATAATTTCAAAATAACTGAATATTTAAATTGTTTCTGAGATATTTTGATGTGTTCATGAATTCTCTAGTAATTAAAATTTGCATGAGAATAGGGAGCCTGTATTAAGCCGTGAGTGAAATAAATTTAGAGAAACTGACATAATCATAGATTAATTCCACGTACATTAATATTATGTGACATTTTATTAAGAACAAACATGAGAGTATAATTAAAATTTATTTGCAAATTGACCTCAACAACTTTTCATTCATTCTTATTATAAATATATACACTAATTGAACTTTTGTGGGTTCCGCATAGAAAATTGAATACAAAAAAATTATTAAAAAATGATACGAGGAAATTTAACTTACTCTATTTTGTCTTATTTTGTTTGTTTTAAGACTGCCATACCTAGAAAGTCCATTTGAGCTCTCTTTAAGGATGATAAATCTATTTTATCTAGTCTAGCCAAGGTTATGCTTCATACGGACTTGAGATAATACACTAGTGCAACCGCATTACTAGATGACTATATTGATATCAATATCCACTAGTACACGAAATGCATTTTTAGTGCTCCTTATAGTGCAATTAACTTTCATTTTTATCTACTTAGATTCTACATTTATTGAATCTTATGCTTTACATAAGATTCAATAAATGTAGAATCTAAATTTAAAGAATAAATCTATATCTGTTGACTTGCTGCAAGATATTTGAATTCACATATATACACACCCATGTTAACAATATTTTGTTACACATAATGGAATCCTTCCAGCAATTGTATTTCCGGAGCCATACGATTATGAAACCTTCAAGAAAAGAGCAATTTACAATTCCTCTAGTGTTGCAGGTGCTCATGAGCGGTGGTAATCACTTACCATCAGATTTGCCACAAACTCTTTTGTTCTTTATGCTATAAAAAAAACTATAGCATGAGGTCTTTAAAAAGGGATTATTAAGGTTTTTTAAACGTCGATATCCTGTACGTAACACCACTGTTGCTCACGCGTTTACGAGCTTCGGTGACCATTTACCATCTCGTCGTAATCATGTTTAATATTACTGTAGTATAAATGAAAGCACAAAATTTGTATTTCTGGAAAATATTTGTTTTCCATTGTCACTCAATAAACACTATTATCCATATAATTAAACACAGTGGATAAGTAGGTAGTTACCTACTTCTAATATATTCTATTTAATATTTTATGTCTAACAGTGACAGTATTCGAATGCGGACAAATTTAGAATACGACTTAAATAATTACAAACATTAAATCTAATCTGGCCTCTATAAGATAAAAGGGAGACTCATTGTTTCGTTTTAAACATTGAGTCTTTTAATTAAAGCGATCAAGGAAGTAATAGAACATTTATTTTAATGTAAAATGAGATTATTTTTCCCTCTTTTAATTTGAAATACAAATATAACGGTAACAAGTTAATTAATGATACGCTTCGAATAATTCTTATCATAACTTTATTTTAATTAATAATTTTTTGCGACAGATTTATGACTGAAAATCCAAACACAATAGTATCTAACGATACGATATATGCGACATCGTATCTATCGCAATTAAATAATTGATATAATAATTATTATTAATAGAATAGTGATTATTAAACAGTAGCTAGAAGTTGACCTTAGATATATTCATAAATCACGATGATAGTAAAACGACTAATAACCTATTAGTACAAATTTTATTTAAATCTGTTCGCAGTTTATTCATTATAGGATTGTTACTCAGTAAAATACTTATAAGTGCTTGTAAGTGATTAAACTTCTTACTTTTTTTATTGCGTAAGGGTTTAATGATCACAGAAAGCTAATGTCATAGCTAAGTTCATAGAACCAGAGCATTTTATTAGTTGTAAAGCGAAAACTATCGACTCAACTTTTATAACTAGTCTCTACGATAAGTCTGGAAAAGTCATTTAACTTAGAGTCATTAGGAGAACTTAATAATTGTCTCTTAGCTATCAGCTAGTGGTTAAATCATAATGAAATGGCATTGAAAAAAATTTTATGATGATTAATATTATAAGAGAACTAATGAGAGTGTCTGGCTCTTATGTTGTAGTAGACTTGGATCGAAGAGTAATGAATACGAGTTCGAGTCTGACCAACATCAAAATCTTTTCTATGTTTATTTATCTGGCTACCCTACTTGAATAATTATGATGAAATTACGTTAAAACAAAGATGTATTATATATACTGATACTGGGGAGTAGGCTTATGTCGCGATAAGAATATTCCGTAAATAATTATGTCCTTAAAAAATGCAAGCTATTTTACATTATTTTTTCTGTATTGTAATTTCAAATTTCAAGTTTTTTTTTCTATTAAATTATTGACGAAAAGCAATGTTGTCCAAATATGAACTATAAACATTAGTTGTTGTTAGAAAAAAAATAGAAGAGACGATTCATCAAAATATTCAGTAAAATTACATTTTATTACAAACTGTAGTCAATATAAATACGATGGAAATATTTATACAACTAAGTTGGACTTTACACAAGTTGTCGTACTTCTCTGTCTAATACAACCGGCAAACAACTTGCTATATTATAGTTAAAAAAATATGACAATGAAATTATAGGAGTATATATACCCATACGAGTATATCATAATAAATTGTACGTCAGTATAATAGCAATGTATGAGCGACACCAGAGTTGTCACATGATATCTATGGTTGTGTAGTTCATTTATATATGTATGAATATACAGGCGACGTAATTGTCAACACTTTTCGTTTAAAGTCCTGCCAGCTTATTTGCCATAATATGGAAAAAAGGTATCATCCAGCAACTTAGTACTACAATTGCTGTTGTAGACTAACTTTATAAAGCCGCAATATCAGAGAGTCGATCGTAGTGTGAAATGTAAAGGATCACAGTCAACTTGCAATTATGCACTCAACTTTTGCAATTGTGTTGCTATCGAGTTCCTTTGAAGCGATAAAACATCGAGCTGTTGTTGCGTGAATCCATTTTCTTTGTGAATTTCCTTATGAATATCGTTTGCACTATTTGTACTTTTGTAATAAGAATGCAGTTTATAATGACTTTCAATTGTACTGCAAGTGCACTTTGTTAAGTAAGACCGATACTTTAAATGCTCTAGAATGTACCTTTCAGGAATATAATTTTACATTTAATTATTACTTATGCCAGTGATGTAGTTTAATATAAATGAAAGAATGTTTAAAAGCAGTCAAGTATTGTTTCTATACATCTCTTTCTAACAAATAAATATTATACATAAAACTCTATATATATACTCGTCTAGTTAAAATTTGTTATACTTATTTGCTATATTGCAGAACTACAAGTGTATTTCTACAATTACTTATAATATATAACATAAATTATTTTATTTTATGTAATTAGAATATTAAACTTCGTCAGGTTGTTTAATCCACCATGGATTTAAATTACATTACATTACTATGTATCGATTATGGACTAGTCTGCTTCCGTTTCCATTTCATTTATTGGACAATGGCTTACGTTCGTTGCCATTCCGGTGATTAAGTTATCATTCCTTCATATATCAATGAACACTAATGTCACTGCCATAGCTCCCTCTTGTTGTATTTTGTAATTTCAATAAATAGTTATGTTAATATTATATTTAAATTTTCTTTAACAGGCTGATATAGCACATTCGGCCAAAGGCTACGAATCAGAGGATGAAAACGCGAGCAGAAAGTGGCAAAAGGCCAACGACGAGCGGCCAGCCAGCAGAACTACTATGTACTCTAAGCAGGTTGTTATTTTCTTTATATTTATATAATTTAAATTGCAACGACAAATGAGCCACCTGATAGAATGTGTCCACTGCCTTAATATTCGTAATATGCTCATGTAAGGTGCTCAGTTACTTCTCAGCACTCCGACTATTATACGGACAGAATACTGTAACCATGCCCGGCTAACTTCATATACAGTGCCTTTTCTGAGAACAAAGCTGCTGTCTTTGTGATCTGTACCACTTCCATATTTCACATGAGAACATGACTTACAATGTAAAGAGAGGTAGCCACACAGAAAACTGTACAAAAGCTCCTTTTTATATTTAATAGGGATTTTAGGGCAATAGATTAAGTATAATTTGAAATAGAGATCTTATAATAAATTTAAAATGGAAATAATATTAAAATGCCAAATAAGCTTACGGTTAACTTAAAGCTGAAATAGCAGCCTAATTTTCTGTTTCGTTGCAATATTAATATTAATAATGGCTGTAATATAAATACTTTATTTGAGAAAACCCAAAGAGTTGAATCTCTTATTCATCTAGCCTTTTTGAATTTTAAAAGCAGATGAGAAAAAATATATTTTAGCGCATTTCACTTGCGCATAAATTTGTGTAAAAATTAGAAATCCGATGATTGAATCTTGGCAGTATTGGAATATATTTTTTCTTTCGATTTACTATAGAAAAAATATATTCCAATACTTTTATAACAACCTTGAAAGTACACTAGCCGCCTATACAGAAAAACTTAAAGTCTGCTACAAACTTTGAAATAAGTATTACAGTATTTTATTTCACTTGAAAAAAATTGTTGGCAAGAAATAAATAACTTCAAAAACTTACACTCCACTATAATAAAATATATCACGCTCTAAAATGTAAGAAGAAAATATTCTCATCTGAATTTTTTAGCCGTTGCATAGTCGTATAACTAAATTAACACTTTACCTACCATATAAAAAAATACGTTTTTTCTTATATATTAGGAGTTCCGAGAGCAGTACTGCATCAACAACAAACAACTGGACCTGCTGGAGCTGGAGAAGTCCAAGAAGGACAGATTCCTCGGATGCCTCTCTCAATACCACATCGAGAGTCCATGTTCGAGAACCAACCGGTATGTGGTACGGTACTGTACACATGTATGTACATCTATAGTAGGTATAGAAACAGCAGTGTAAATGAATGCTATAAAAAATCATTTCATCATTGCCTTGCCTTTATCCCCTTATTTGGGGTCGGTGCAGTATATCATTCTCTTCCACTAATCTCTATCGGCCGTCATATCTGAGCATACTCTCCTTTTATTCTTATAATCATTCACTCAATCCATCCGTCTTTTTTTAGGGCGCCCTCTCCCTTTCCATTCATCCACGTTCATATTGTACACTTTCCTTAAGACATGATCCTCGTTCCTTCGCATAACATGCCCAATACTATAAAAAATATAGTATAAAGTAAAATATAAATATATATTACACATCTCACAATGTCATGTCTACAAAATAATTGAAACAATAGAAAACACTCTAAAATTCTAAATACAAAGTTTTCTTGTATTCAGAAGGGAAGAGAAGATACATATTTAATTACGCATTTTTAATACGTCCGTTTAATTTTGAATTTATATAATATGCTGCACTTGCTGTATTTTTATATACCTATATTGTACTTCTTTTACATCAAAAAAGAAACAACAGAATATGCAAAGACTGCAGAGTTGTCAATAATACTGGGCAATACATAATTCAAGTATACAATGTCACTAGAAATAATCTTCGTTTTCTTTATTTTACTTCAAAGTGATAGAAATTTAAATTAAAATTTACGTATACTTTAAATAATAAAAAAATCTGAATTGTTTTACATCTCGTTACTTATTATTTCTATAGGAGTATGCTGATTGTGTATAATAGAAAGGTGGTTATTTTACCTTCATTACGTAGAATAACATGACGGCGCACCGGATCTGAAGTTGTCAATATGAGAATATTGTCTTACAGAAGAACTAGGTAGCATAATGTGACACTGAACTAGGCCAGCCACATAGCCATCATACAAAATGACTATTGATTACCTTTTTCCCATGTTCATAAATACCGACGTCCCACTTAAAGTAGTAATATCATTATAAGTTTTCATATGATATATGAGTTTTTATTTATTGTTGTGCATACAAAACTGGCGGACTTACCTGATGGCTCTACCTGTCAACAGTCGCGTTGATCAGAGAGAATATGGCGGTGCAAATTAATATACTAAAACAGTAAACATTAAAATATAAAATCAGTATATATATGTACAAACATGCGAGCTCGTGGAATACATACAAATTAAATGTAAAATTAAACTATCATTTATATAGTCTCATGGAATATATCTTCAGATAGTAATTTGCTTGAATACTGTTAGAATTACAAGACATTACAAAACCTGTGGTGATCTCATGTGTTGTTGTTCCTAAAGACAACATTTTTATGCCTACCCTTTCATTTTACAACAATGTGATTTATTGTAGTAAAATGAAATTATTTACATCGAAACACAGCCTGCTAAGCAAGTAATTAGGGTCAGAATTAGGCGAGACAGAAACCCACATATATCACTGTAAAGTCTGGTATTCTTAATTTAAAATTTGTTATATTCTTTACATGTAAATACTTACTTTCGAACTTTAGATTGTTATTGATACTTTATCGTTTCGACCAAACTTATTTGTTCCATTGAAAGTTCAATTTTGTAATAAATTTTAGACCGAAGTTTTCAATTCCATTTCTGTTAGCCACCTGCTATTTCACGTGAGGAGAACTTTTACAATATATATGTATGTTACTATAATTTGTTGTATATTTTATTTCATTGTACCTACTATTCTCATATCTACCTATATGAGATTACATACTCTCATATAACTCTTCAGAATCTAATTAATTAAATGACAAACCAAATTCTGAACTATGAGCTCGAAAATAATGCTAACGATAACTTACCTAACCCATTAGTATTAATCGCATCACTATCTCTGTCTGTCTGTCTGTATAATTGTTAACTATTCTCGACTACGAAACGATTGAATTGATTTTAATGAAATTTGAAAGATAGTTTGTATCAATATGACAATGACAGACATGCCCTTCTAAACAGCAGAGTAAGTGGCGGGTATTGCCTAGTTTACATATACAATCTTGATAACAAAACAAAAACTAATCAAATAAACAAAAATTTTCTACGCTTGAATATGAAATGGCTATAAAATACCAAATTAAGTTTTGGGTATGATTCCAAACAACCGTTCGACGGACCTCCCATGTGAGTTCTTCGAAATGACCTTCCATGCATAAGATATGAGCTTGCTTGTTTGTTATGTACAACTCAAAAACATTATACCCAAGTTTCTAATATAAGTAAGTACATACCTTGTTTGGTTTATGAATAGAACAACGAAATGGAAATATTTATATAACCGTGATTTATTATTATAGAACTTACGTTTTCTTTCCTCTATTGAAAATTGTTGAAGAATTTGTTATTTTATGATAATTTATTTATTTTTACGTAATTGGAATGGCAAACTAGTTGACGACCTTACGGTAATCAGTATCCGTCGCCTATATAAATGAACTACAACTACGGACATCACGTTATCATGTGACACCTATGATACGAATATAACTGATGCCTTGTCATTCTAGATGACTAAGATATATCTAATGCTTTTTCACTGCTTACAACTGAAATACAGCAAAAATATACCAAGTCTCCTTACAATATAAAAAAAAATGTGCTAAACTGGCAACAGGTCAGACAAATATTGTGCGATCAGGACATTAATAACAAGTTCTGAAATTAATTATAGACGAAATATAAATTAACAAATTATATAACTATTTGGCATTAGTAAAAAATCGGTCTTTAAATTACAAATAATACTACCTGCTCACCTTTACTCTATAAGATCATCTTTTGTACAGAACTTTAAAAAAAGTATAACTTAAATAAAGTAATGAATATAAACCATAAAGTTTACTATTTAATTTTGTCTTCATTAAAACGAATAAAAATAACCTCTTTTCGTTGATTTGCAAACTAAATAGAGACCTCTTACGAAAGGTAAAGGTAACAAATTGAGCATTTTATTATTCTCCACCCTTGCAATAGTATTAGGAGTCCAGTAAGGAATAAAAACACGACACAGAAACTTTTTTGACTTACTTTTTTCTGTCTCAGCTATATTAATTCCAATTTTAAAATATGATGCCATTGTAGCTACTGCTTGTGGCTATCCCATTTAGTTAATCTAGAATATAAACTGTCTGTATTTGTACGAAATTTAATTACGACCCGCTCGCTACTTTTAACTAAAATTCAAACGCTAACAACTAAATAGTTTAATATTCGAACATCACATACCTTTATAATAGTAAAATAGTGTTTAAGAGTAGAACTAATTAGAAGAGTTAACTCAAATAAAGTTATATCAAATATTTAAAACAACGTAAAATAAATATATAAAGTATTGAATATATTGATTTTATATGGATTCGACGATGTTTAATTATATATTAAGTCGGTGATATATCTTATTAAAATCTTAATATCGATTAAAACTTTTTTGAACATTTTTTAAACTGAATGTTACCGGAACATTAAAACTTGTGTTAAAATCTTATTATAAATAAATAATCTGAATAGATTATTAGGATATGATGAATTATTCTCGCTAATCACGTTATAATAAAATTAAATAATGCTATTGAATATAATAATAGTAGCTAAAGATTTTGAAACGAATGAAGATACTACTAGAGTAACAAGTGATTATTCTGAAATTTGGTACACATATATGTAGATCACAATTATCAGGAACTAGATGCAGCGCATTCGGCCGTTTGTACGTATTATATTCCCGTGAGATTTCCGGAAAATCTATTATTAGTCGATGCTTCATATTAAATTCAAATTCATAGTCTCAACAGTAGATAGATCATTCAGCTGTAACAAATTCACTTTAAATGAGTTTATAATAGAGAGAGTAATGAAATTACTGGAACATTTTTCCCTTAGTACAGTTAGTATTAATGGTATATTAATATACCTATATAAATAAATATCACTGTTTTGTTGTTTCCAGAGCATCATTTTTATCCGTGTGCGTCCGCCGTCGGGTGCCCTCGGATGAGAACCTCAACTCCGACTATGCACCAATACAGCGGTTTCCAAGGTACATATCTATATATCAATACATTGTATAATATGTTTTAATTTGTGAAGCGAATGCTGCTAATAAGTAAGTTTTTTAAGGTTAATGTGGAAAATATGGTGACAATTAAAAGACGAAATTTATAAACAGCGATATAATATAGAATCCACAATTTTAAAATAATACAATAATATCGAATACAACAATTTGTATAATGATAAAATACAAAAGCGATATCTTAAGCAATAGACATAAATGCATTGTCCATTTATACCTAAAGTAGTAAAGAAGAAGAAAATATGACTTTTTGGTTTGTAATGAATAGACTAGATAAATAATGAGCCAACTTTTAAGTTTAAGTAACATTCATGAGAGCCCGTTGTGGGGATAAAGTTACCAAATGTTTTTATAATTTAATCGTACACATTAATTCTAGGTTTGGCCAACCCACCCCCGTTCCACCCGAGCTATGTGCCTATGATGCCGATTTGGAGTGTTCGTACTTCCGCCGGAGACCAAGGTCCGTGTGTAGCCAGCCTGACCCGAAGCGGTACACATGGATGCCAGAAGATGAAGACTTCACCCGGATGGAGTGGCCACAGTAAGTCGACATTCTTAATAAGGGTCCAACAAAGGGGAATCCAGATGGTTGCTACCTATAGTAATAGGGCCGTATGATCCTCTACCGACGTAAGGCCGTAAGCCCTTTTGTAAGCATGTACGTTATCAGATTGACTTTATAGCAGTCACTCTAAAAACCATCGTAATGAATTCCCCGATATGTCTGAACTATAACTAACTGAATATATGTTTTTTGCTTATCATCATCCTCCACTGACCTAGTTGTTAGCGCAGGCGGGTGTACCTATTGTGACATTCATCCATCGCAAAATAATATTGTACATATCAAGAACTTTCTAGGACCTTGATTTTGTCCTTTTGAGAAAAACAAGAACCTATCAAACTATTAAACAATCTATAAATCTAAATGTCAACTGTAATGTAGGTTAAAAATTGCGTAAAATCGTTAAAAATAGCGTTACTTTATATTAATAATGATTGTAATTTATCAATGAGTTTTCTTGTTCATTATATTTTATAATTTGTACACCGCTATAAAACACTGGTACTACATGTAAATAAACAATTGACAATTGAGTTTCACATTTTTAATAACCTCAGGTCGGAAGTCATCAATTCATATATTTTGTCTGAACACCACACTTAGACTTGATAATGCATTTATTATTAATTAAAAACCCTTGGTTCAAGTTTAATTTTCTAATTTAGTAAAAGTACTTACACTCTATTTTAATAGGATCAATTTTGATACTTTCGGAGACAATATCAAAATATATTTTAGTTTTAATATAAAATTGGGAATAGAAAATTATGTAATGGTATACATGCATATGCTTTTTGGCGAATAAGACACTCATAAATGCTTTTACAACCTTAATCCAAATAAATTGCGTAATTATCCTAACATATAATTTTACCCAGAAATGCAGGGAACTACCAAACAACATTAAATTCTTCCAAATGGCTGTTTCCGAGTGTTAGGGAGCATTTGACGACAGCTGGAAACAATAAAATGAGGGTGCCCATAGTTCTCGCTATTTTGAAACGTTTAGTAAAATGGTTAAGCACGCCATTATCCTTTATCATGTTATGCTTAAAATTTAACTTCTTAATTATAATTTATCACAGGTCTATTAAACTGAAGACTGAGTATATCTTCATAGACATTGCTAAATAATACGGTCCTCTGCCAGGTAGCCAAGTTGTTAAAAACTTATTCTTCGTCCATTTACTCGTATACCTACAAGTCTCAAGTGATGTAGGAAAGATTTAGCCTCTTCCGCTCTGGACGTGCGCCTTATTATTATAGTTTATGTCAATATTTTTTCTTCTGTGTCATCGATGTAAGAAACAACATCCTGGGGATGGGAAAACGAAAGCAGAGAACATTATATCCAAACTCCATAATCAACCGGGGTCATTGTTGTATAAAAAAATGTTTTACAACTATTCTAAATTTATCCAAATAACTTTCTAATAATACTTATTAAGAATTACTAAGTTTATTTGAATAAAGATTATTTGTATTCTATTCAGTGACTCTGAGAAAGTCAATTGGAATAATTTAAAATAAATATAGAAAAAATATAGCATTTGATTAATATAATCATATTATTGCTATTTATATTTTCCTGCTAGATGCCTAATGGAGTAGGCCGGGAAACGGAATACTAATGACTTATCTAAATATTCAACTCTTGTTTCGACCACTTTCATAATTCGTCTTGTGTTTGGACTCCGGTTCCATACAAAACTGTTTTTTACTGCCTTTTATTTATTGCCATTTTTATCTGTTTGATGCTAATATATTTTACTACATTTAAGATGTAATGAAAAAATTGATGAAATTTTATACATCAATTTTGTAACTAAACAAAAACATTGTATAATGATTTTTTTATTGTATTAAGCACTAACATTATAAAAGAACATATTCTTTTAATTGAAAGATTTCCATTTTCTAATTACAAAGAAGATTCGAATAATTTGCTGACCTTAATTAAAAGTAAGAAAATATAGCTTAATTAAATAATGAACAGCGGAATAACAGAGTAATTTTAATACGATCTCGTCGAGTTTCGAAAGTACATTCTCAGTGAAAACCCTAATAAAATATAGCCTTTTGTTTGAAGATCTCACGAATGACAGTGAAGTGCTAGGGCTGCCTTTGATATTTGCATAATCAAAATAAAATAATGTCTCTTATTGGAAGAACTTAGCTTGCCCCATAATTAATTCTGACTGCAGACCACTTATAAAATGCTTACGCTTTTTAAATTTTCGAACTAGAAATAATTTGCAGCGTTGTGTAAATTACTTATTTCATTATACATTAATGCAACCTAGACGAATTGTTTAGTGAGGTGAATAAATATAACGCATGTTAATACTTGATTACTACTCGTGTGTAGATTATAGCACAAATAACATAATAATAGTACTATATACTATATTTGTATAATAATTATAGTACCTTTGTTAGAAATATCGTGTCCCCTAAATCTAATTAATGGTTATAAATATACTTTGAATTATATTTCACATATATAACTACTACATAATATTAAATAATTAACATAAAGCAAATATTTTTTGCACATATAATATTTTCATATATTTGAAATTCAAATAAAGCTTCATATTATTTATTTATAAAGAGCTAAAACAAAATTTCTATTTTACATGCTTAATATATTACATATAACGATTTCCATATTAATTTTGATACCTATTAATTCTGGTACCAAACCAGGAAAAAACTTAGTCCCAATTAATTTATGCAAACCCTTCACAGAGGAGTTAGGATTTTATCTATGTAAATGAAGATACACTTTGTATTCAGAAATATGGATATATGTATGTACATATAACTGTAATTCTGAATACAATGTGAATATAATTAAATTTATTCATATTATTAAACACTTAGATAATATTTTACCCATAAAACACAATTCCCCTCGAATACGAATATATATATAAGGAAGTTGGTCCAATAAAGTAGATAATTCAAATATTTTACTCTGATACCAATATTGCCGACTGCTCTATTCGATATATATCTTAATCCCATAAATTCCTATCGATTACGAAAGTAATCATCTAATTGTAATTATTTTTATAATATACTTAAGAAAGGGGTGGGAAATTTGTAATAATTCGGTGTAGCAATATACCATTGCCAGCAATATACCATTAGTCGTCACAACCTCCACGAGGTCCCACCTAGATACCTTCGTGGATACTTCTAGGTGATTTCGCTACGATGTCCTAATTGACCTCACTTCATACTGATTCTATCATGCAGTATTTACCACAAAACATTCCATATTCATCCATATCTTAGGAATATAAAATAATATTAATATAATTATAAATAATAATAATAACCATTTATTTAATATATTATACATTTTTGATCTAGAACTATTGACAAATTTATTTCAGATCGGTAATAGAAGATAACGCGGGGTGGCCGCAAAATTACAACATAGACCAAATAAGCTCTGTGACCCGAGGTGGATCTTTGCCTAGACCACCGTCTATAATACCGTAAGTATAATAAAAATATATAATATATAAGTTACGGCTAAGCACATTACCTCATTTTTTTTATCTGCATTCCACATTTCTAAATGGATCATTAAAAGACCTGTTTATGCTATAATTACTTTTATGTACATGTAATATTTCCTTAAGACAACATTCATAATTACACGAATCTCATAATTATTATATGTGTGCAGATATTCACTAATAATATAAATTATGACAATATGTTTATGTTTCATTTATTTATCTAAGACTTTATGCTATGTATGAAATTATTCAATTTTCATGTCATAATTCCATCCACGAATTTTTCGCTATAAATTGTATATTGTTATATATAATATATTATTAAAGTATAGGTTACCTGTTGTCTATCTGTACCTATACTACATTTCATTTCATCCGGTCCTATCATCCGATTTATCAGTGATTGAGTAATGTATTTCTACATAATCTGCTATAATAGTAGTAGGTAGTATGTGATAGATTTTGAAGTAATCTTCTTCATCAAAGGTCAGATCTAGTGTATTAGTATACAAAATAGATTTACCCTTTACATAGACACTGTGTATTATAATATAAAGGTTAACAATTCCATAAAATGTCAAGATATGAACTCAAGTATTCAGCTCAGTCAGTCTAAAGCCGATCGCAATTCAGGGCAACCGCAAAGTGGGCGTTGCGTTTTCCCTATAAATTACATTGTAAGGGTTGTGTTTTGTGTAAATTTGATTGTTTTGCTGTAAATTAATTTAACGTCGCGTTTCCGTTGTATAATAGAAAATGGATCTACCCACTCCAGTGTGGTAACTTAATGCAATATGTCATTTGCGTACTGTTTTTGCTCTACATTAAATGCCTACTTGGGCAGGAATCTATAGTGAGGGTTTTAATAGTAACTCTTAATTAAAATTAAAATAGATTTTGTAATTATAAACCTATTAGATATAAACTCATATTGTTAGTATGTGGGTATGTAGGGTGATATGTTAAGTATGAGTTTTAAGAAATTAGATAATAAACATAACTTGTGGTGTTTTGAGATATGCCAATATAATATGCGTTTCCTAAATTGGCCTAATCAAATCCAGTATGGACATCGTCAGACAAGGCATCGACATAACCTTGACTTCTAAGTAACAATACAAATGAAAATTAAATTATAAACACTACTAACCTCTAATCTCTGTTCATATAGAAATACAGTATTTATGTTATCGCCAACTCGTATAATAATTCTTTTTTTTTTTCATATACCGATGAAGGCACACATTCATATGGCCTACCTTCTGGTAAGCGGTTATAACACACAGCTTCTGTTTCCACCAGGGATTATGTGTTGACTCATGCATGACCCTGAACCTTCCCCTTTATGGGTACTATCTATTCTGAATTTTAATCTTATTACTTAATTAACAGTGACGCATCATCGTTTTACTCATGAAGAGTTGTTACAGTAATATGGCTGACACGTCTTTCCATCAAATATGTGCTCATTCGTGTATGACTCTGACTTCCGAATATTACAACGACCTTTTGTGAATTCCCGTGCCTAATTCATATTCACGTGCACGTACTGGTCTTGATAATTACTAAATATACTTAATTGTAATAACTTAATTCACAACTTACCTGATACAGTTCTACTTGTATTAATCGGTTCCATTAATACCTTACCTTACCTTACCTCCTCTATCTATCAGGGTTGTCATGTCATGTTAGTGTTTACCCATGTTTACCCTTGAACTCTTCCCATGATTTGCAGTAATCGCAGTATCTAATTATTACTTTACTTGTACCTTTAATGATATACTCTCTGTGACTACCAGTGACAGCAAGTGTGTATTTGTGAGTGACTCTCGATCCTTCCCAATGCTCTTTGATAATTGTGAAGTTTACTCTAAATGTATTTTATACTGTTGTATGGGTTTAAATTGGATATTTAATTATACTTCTAATAATATTCATTATAGGCATTAATGAACAACACAAATTTCAGATGAAATACAGTTAACATTTCAACTTAAAAATACGGTATTCTTTTTATTTACATCATAGTCAGATATGCATAAAATTTGACTGATACAAATAAGTGAAATTAAATTAAATGAAAATTCTTTTATTATTCTTCTCAAAGAAAATATAATTACATAAACTTTTATAATTTTAGACATATTTAATATATTAAAACCTTAGTAATTAGCAATATTATATTGACCTTACACCGTATAGTCACCACATATCCGATTAACCTAAATTTTCTTGTATTCACAAAATACGACAATAAAAAAAGTTTATACGAAAATTTTTCACTATTGCATTATTTAGATACTAATAAAATCATAACAATCAGTACAGAACCGAAACTGCCAATTTACACAAACCGGAATATTTTTATTTGGGTATTAAACGATTAACATACATCATTATCGTAATATATAATGTAATACTACAACCTGTAGAATGGAATATAGATATTTTGTTGTAGCCTATGTATAGTAAATATAAATTAAAGCGTCAATTATTTCATTGTATATGTACTTTTTATGCTAAAAAACGATTGAAGTATTTTATTCTTGCGTATTTTTTTATATTCCATTTTTTTTATAATTGTTGTCAATATAATTTTAAAAGGAAAGATTACGTATTTTTCATATTCAAACCTCTTTAAAATAAAAGACAGTGCATTTTTTGTTTCATCATGCATATTGATTTTTTCAGTTGCCCTGCGCACACGCCGATACCCCCACCGCCACCGCCGCCACCGCTTACTATTCCACCAAATAGGTAATTAAATATAAAAAAAAGACATGTATATAAAGTTACATCATTTGCAATTGCTTTTGTCTTTTATTTTATTTAATCAACTGATTATTATCACAAATAATATCCAGACAGACTACAAAGTCGTCTACGTGAGTACTTCTGCCTCATCTACATTAGCGAAGCAGCTTTATTTTGTATGATATGTTTCAGTTGAAGGAAGAGATATAGCAGTGAAATTATAGCTTATGTAAGAATGATATCTTAGTATTCCAGAAAGGTAAAGCTTGGCTTTTGATCATCCACTGGCCCTTATAGGCCTTCGAGACTATGCTCTTTACCCGTGTGTACTGCTGGGGTGACCCGCTCCAGCATCGTTTACGCCTTTATTGGTGAGGCCGGCTACAGTTATATAGCCGGCTGAAGAAGTAAATGTGTAATTAGGTGTCGCTCGCTGGGCCGACTTAGTTGTCGCCCTGTTTCGAATTACGTGATTACGGTGGAGAGTCCGACGGATAAGTTAACGCATACAAGTAACATTACGGGCATCACATGTTAATGTGTCCGTGACGCTGTTTACGCATCTAAACGAAAAATATCACTTATATCAGGTATATTAACAGATTTCTTATCGATTCACTTACATAAAAAATATTAACTATCTATACTTATTTTTTACACATTTGTTAAATTTTATGTAACATGATTCCAATACATGACATATTAAAATACAATACGTAGGGCGTAAGTCTATCCATCGATACTTATAAGGCTATTTATTTCTAAATTATGACTTTTCTCCATTTCAGAACTAAACACGTATCTTTCGCCCGTTCCCACACCTTGACCACGTTTGATGACTCCGTTATGCCAGCAGCAGTTGGTAATAGATTCCGCCGTGACTGCGAAAGGCTCCTGGATGGACGACCTGTGAAGGTTAATATTCTGTAATATATTTCTTTCGAAACCCGGTCATAAATACTATTATGATGGTGGTAACATAAGTGAAATTTGGTCGTTTAGTCCATCCTGGAGAATTAGGTCTAGAGGTTTAGCACTGCGCCTTATTTCCGATGGTCACGGGTTCAGTTCCTCGCACTGTATAAACATTTGTATTCATGAGTATGATTGTTTGAATTGGTATGGGTATGTCATATATTTATTATGAATGTATTTACAAAAAAAATGTATTTAAGTATTTACATCAGTTCTCTAGTGCCTGCTTAGCATGATACTAGATGGCGGTATGTGAATTGTCTAGAATTATTATTTTTATTATAGTATAAAATACCTCTTAATATTCGTATTTTTAGTAACAACAGGAAATGCAGCTGACTATACGACGTACGAGGATTATTAAATTCGAAAAAGTATGTAGTCCGACATTAACAAGACATAGGTCTACAAAAGTACAATCCTGAACTGACAACACAACAAACAGTACCACCTACGTTCAGTATTGTAAGATCAATTATTGTACCTATATTCACATATTTCAGCCAGAAACAAAACAATACTCAACATTGCCGATGATGTATCCACCATACGCACCGTACCCGCAATTCATGACTGGCCAGAATACTCCGGCACCAGCGCCCATCCATTATCCGACGCAACCACAGTTCGCGACATTACCCCATGCCGGTCCACCGGTACAGCGGCCCACACAAACAGAGCAGCCTAAAGTCGTTGTCTTAGGTATTATTAAAATATGTTATCTAAAAACTCTTTTGTTAGTCGATCGATAATGGCGTTCGACTAACAAAAGTACCGTTCAATTTCTTTCAATTCAAATATATTCTTCAAAATTCAACAAAGTAAATAATAAAAAAAAAATATTGGGTTTAATAGTTCTTTTGTATGTCGAGATCGTTTTATCAAGAGATCATATTGGATTGAAAATAATTATATTTTAATGTTTTATTACGAACATAACAAATTTATTAAATTCATGATTAATGACGTAATGGCGTCAATTATTATTGTAATATTCTTCGATTAAATTACCAATATTTTCTTTAAATAATATAGTTTCACATAAATATCAATCATCAATTTGAAAATTTAAATATTGAAATTTAATAATTCTTTTAATGTTATTATTACAGACTCAATCAAAAAAGGAGTTATGAGGACACAAGCAACACAGACTGAAGTATGTTTAGGAAGAAAGCCGCTCCCGCCTAATTATTTATCTTTGAGTCCACGAACTATTAAACGGGTAAAAAAATTATGATAAGAGGAATGTTATAACAACTCTTTTAGCTAAATAATTTAACTGTCCAATCCATTTAATAGGTAAAAATGGTAGCAGCAGGAGTCCAGACAAATGGATACACGGTAGGTGTAAGAAGACTCACAAAATCATTCTCTGAAGTAGGCGGCGATCGATTAGCTGGTCGAGATTCTCAAAGCGATATCGATGCTGTTGTTGAAAGGTATTAATGTTCAAAATATTTTTTTAGTATTTAACATATTATAAAATAATATTAATAAAAACAAATTATATATATGCCTTGTTATTCTACTATTTTTCAGCATTATTGGAACTGATCATGAAAAACTCCATAGAACACAATCTGAAGAACCTCCAAGATCACCTCGTTCGCCCACGTCTATGATGCCACAATCTCCTTTAATGCAAAGAATGGATTCAGATGAAGTGACATCTTCATCTGTAAAATCAGTAGCGTCGTCCCAATTAGATAAATCATCGGAACTAAGTGTTTTGCAAAGACAAGCTCAGGAATACTTTCAACAAAATTTCCAGTTTATTCATGAAAGCGATAGAGACGATACAATTGATGATGATATAGAAACAATTGAAAAAAGTATGGCATTAAATAGAAGAAACTTAGAATATCTGCAACAAGAGATAGCCAAACAAGCTAAGGGCGATAGGTCACTAAGATCAATTCTATCTAAAAGTACCAGTGACACTTCACAGAAAACTATTAATTCACATCCACTTTCAAAAACATCCACATTTCATTCAGAACCTTCTACAGAAACATCTGCTACAACGACAGATGATAGTGAGAAAAATGAAAAAGAAATTATAATCGACTTTGAACCTAGGCCTGATGAAGAAGCTATACCATTCACAACACTACATAGAAAGAATAGAAAATTACAGAAGACTCTGTCCGAAGGAGAAATTCTTTTAGATGTGTAAGTTTTTTAAATACATATTGTACTTAATATTAAAATATTATTACATTGGAATAGTTTCCATAATTTTATAACTTTATCGTTGTTTATGTACTATGAATAAAAATTAATCTGAAATTCTTCTCGGTTATCCCATGAGAATAACGTATACAATTTTATTCATCCTTTTAAATAAAATAAATATTTTTTTCTAATACTTTGTGGAAGGTTCTTACGAAATGATATATTATGAATTTTACGCAGAAAATTGGAAATATTCAGAAAATATGTGTATTTTAATATTGATTAATATATGTGATTAAAGTATGGATAATCCATATTGGTACTGTTTCGTTAATTAATTTTGATATTTATCAACTATGACAGGAGAAAAATCGAAATAAATGGCGAAGGTACAAAAGATGTTCCACTTGTTATGTCCACTAGCCAAGAAAATATGACAAGAGAGGATCGTGAAAGAGAAGCAGTATATCGACAATATATTGGCCAAAATTATATACAAACACCCATTAAGGACGAAGGCATTTTTGGTTTTGAGCCTGATGGGTCATTTAGGTAAGAACAAAATAGATAATTTACTTCATAAGTATGATAGATAACGCACATAGAAAATAGGTCCATCGCACAAAAACACGTTCATTTTCACAAAACCACATCACAATCTAATATTTTTGTAGGGTCATAATAAAGTCTTGTTTACTCTAAAATAGCCTACTGTTTTTACTACAGTTTGTTCTCCACGCCTGCCTTCCTTCTAAAACTGCTGTTAAGTTCTATGAGCTTAAAAATTTTGTACGCTGTGCTTCCATCCATTCTCATTCAAGTAAATTCTCTTCATAGTTCTTCAGACGGGAATGCACCATATGAAGATTTTCATGAAAAATACATTAGTTACAAGCATGAACCGTTTAGAAATCGAAGCGTAAGTTTCGAAGAGCGTACAGAAATTATCAGTAAAAAGGACGAAATTCCTGAAAACAGGTATGCACGCTACAGATGAAACGCAATGAGCTTTAGCAATGCCTTTCATATAGAATAAGATATATTTTTAAAATTTGTCTAAATGTACCAAGTACTTCAATTTCCCTATTATACCTTTAAATTATAGGTAAAAACTCGTCAATAAATTTTACAACTCCTATTATCATAATAAACCAAAACTTTTTCATTGCATAAAAAAATCACTATATAATATTAATATTACTTATTATCATTTACATACGTATTGTATGTGAATAAAGAAAATTAAATCTGATTATTTCAGTACTGCAAAATCAAGTCCAGGATCACCAGAACCGACAAGCATCTGCGTAGATGTAGAACACAAGGCAAAAAAAGCGGTAATATTAAATAGTATCACAACAATTCTTACTCCATTAGAAAAGGTATCACCATGTGCTTCGAATGAATCTCTCACTGCGGACCATAGCAGGTAGTGTAAACTAATTAGTAATATAAACATTGTATTTTAATTACTAATTGTCCCCTTAAAGTAGAAGCTAATTATGTACTTCTAATGGTACAGATTCTGATATCTCTCTTTAGCAACGAATGCCTATTACATATATTAAAATACTAGAATGTAAGATGTGGTGCAAGAAGTCAAGTTTCAGATTATATCAAATCAATCTCAATCGAATTTCCTGAACATTAAAAATTCATATATTATATTTAAAAGTACTGTCTGTTTAAAATTTCAGAGATCACTCCGATGGAATGTGGAATGAATCACAAACTACAGTCTTACAAGTAGATTCTGGGACTGAAAATGGAACCGTAATAAGGTAATAAAAATTATATAAGTATACTCAATTTTAATTTTTTATTTATTAAGTGTAAAATATATATTATCTGCACTTTGAATTGCAGCTCATCAGATCTCAGTTCATTAGCAGCTTCACCAGGTGCTCTTGCACTACTAACACCTACATCACGAAGAAAACAACTTTTATTATTACAACACCAACAACGATCCTCTTTAGATACAGATGCTTTAGATGAAGAATTTGATGCCTCACAAGTAATTATTAAATTAATAATAATATAATAGAGATATTATAACAATATGTTGAAAATGTAGACATAGTCAGTTGTAACTTGCCTTGGTAATGGTACAAAAACGAGATCCTGAATAAAAGTATGAACTTTCGTTCTATCATCAAGATACATCAATGTAAAATTTATAAACTATTTAACTTTAATTAATATTGTCTTATAACTAATGATTTCAGAGTCAGTCACCAACGTCCCCTCGAAATAAACTAGACACCTCTAGTTCAAGTTCAGTACAAGCTAGATCTTCCTTGTCTCCACCTGCAGTTGTTCCCAATATTAGTCTACCAATTACAAAACAACCAACGATATCCAAAAATATATCTACAATTGGACCACATAAAGTTAATCACACTCCAGCAATAGCCATTACACATCCTAGTTTAGATTTATCAGACGTACCATTTAAACGAACCCCTAGTATTATTAATAAGAAACGTGAACGAGCTTTGAGTCCTTCTAGAAGAAAGGATTTACAGAAGAAAGCGCAACAAAAGGAACCAAATGGTACCATTCCTAATCAGATTATAGAATCGCCATCTGAAACTCCCTTAGCTAAAGCAGCCAGTAGTGAAACTAGCTTAGCTAGAACGGATTCTGGAAAAATAAATACTACAGATGTGTCAGAAAGTACGACAACCACAGAAGATTATGTTACAGCTAACTCAGATAGCTCCAAAAAAAGTAATAGTAAAAATCAAAATCAAAGTAAGTACAATAATGAGATTTAAATATATAATATATTTAAATCTATATATCTATCATTAGTAATATTATTATTATTTATAACAATAACTTGTTGCAAGGACCTGGAATTCTTGATTTTTTTAAAGAAACTATGATATTGTCAGCCATTAACATACCTAATTTATATAAAAAAGTATATATATGTATGTTATTTTTTATGTAATACGAATGGCAAATAAGCGTTCTACCTGATGGAAGTAGCAACCGTCACCTACATAAAAAGAGCCTCCAGCATTTTTACGCATGTTTTAAAAAAAAATCTTTACTAGTAAATGAAGTTTACAGGAGGTAAATTTGATTGATAATAAAATCATATTTAAGGTTTACCTTGAAAGAATGAATAGCAATTAGTATATAGACGAATTAAATAATTCTACAGGCTCAATACTTCGTTTAATAAATATTCAATATTTTAACAGAATTTATGGCTTTCTACATTATTCGAAATATTATGTACCTTTTGTATTATATTAAAATAATTTTTTGAAGCTCCGGAAAATAATAAAACACAGGAGGGTTCATCTTTTGAGAGTGCATCAAGTTTATATTCATCAACCCGAACAGAAAATATAGTGGAGGACTTAGTTGTGCCAAGCTTTTCGCCACCATTAGAAATTAGCGATGATTTTATTGTACCAAATCTATCTTCACCGCCTTTACCATTACCCGAACGAGTTCCTAAAACAGTTATCGAAAAAATTGAAGTGAAAGCAGAGGTTAACCAAACAACAGAATTTGCTAGGAGAGATAAGACTGAAATTATTAAACATAATGAAGAGATTACTAAAATAACTAAAGTAAGTGTTAAATTTACCTGCCATGTTAATTTCAATTCGTCGATATTCTTATGTTATCATAATTATTCAATATTGAAATTAATATTTTAGCGTACTTCGCGGGATACAGTAAGTGGAAAAAGTAGCTCAAGTGGAAGTTATAGTATAGGTGGTTCAAATCCAAATGTGACTGAAGATATAAATAACAAGGCGCCTACTGAAAGGACGAAAAAAGTTCCCGAAAAGATAGAAGTTAAAACGAAAGAAGAGAAATCTATAAATTTAAATAAAAGAAAGGAACAAATGGTTCCGAAAATGATGGTATTACTTTTTTATTTAATATTTGTAACTGTAATCGGCATTTATTAAACGACGCTTTTTAAGTCTAGTTTATTATTTTATTCAAATTTGTATAACCATTTAAGTACATTTAAGAAACAAATATTACAAAAAAAAAACTCCTTGACAAGCTTTTACATTTATTGTGTTAGAAGAATGAATAAAATTGTTGACTCTAGTAACATTATAAAAGATCTTAAAATATTTTGATGTTTCATTAAACAATTACTCTCAAATAATTAGGTGTATGTCAATCAACTATAATATACAAATACGCCATCATTAGAGAAGAATATTTCTAATTATAGTTGACATAATATACCGCGGCTATTTCTAAAGTATTTGTATAGATAAAAACCATGACCGTTAATTTCAGGGTTCTGTATCGGATGATGAGCGAAGTGTTCATTATTCATCTTCCGGCTATTATGAAAGTCCTGTGGATGATGAAGATGATGGTGGATTAAGTAAGAGATTTGATATTATTATATTATATATCAGTGAGTAATTTTGATAAGCTTACTAAATAGTTAATTATATATTTCAGCTTACAAACACTCACAACGATATAGAACAACTAATAGACAAAAAACGTGGTTAGAGGAGAAAAGAAGAAAAAAGAAAGCTTTCACATTAGAATTTTCTAAATCTTACGATGACTCGATATCTACTTCACAAGATGATTGGGGTAAGAAAGGGAAAGAATCTGATTGTATAAGCCAGCGTTCAGAACGTAGTATATTTAAACCAATAAATTTAAAATCACCTGATGAGAAACCAACTGAAACAAGAAAAAAGAAAACGCATTTCAAGGAGACGACTAAAAGTGTGCAATCTTCACCTCGTGAACCAATTGATGTAGAAAAATCGTTGAAAGATAAAATAACTAAAGAAAAGGATACAGAAACAAAAAGGCCACAAGAAAGGGAACGATATGTCAAAAGAACGAAATTGAAAGCAAAAAGTCCTACGCAAAACAAAACTATAGATAACGGCCATAATTATAGATCTCAACATTATGATAGACGAGAAATTATGGGATCTAATATGAAGCTACATCTTAATATTCCTACATCAGATGATTCTAGTGAACAATATAGAAAGGATGGTCTGTAAATAAAACTATTTAAATCTTACTGTATAAAATGTGTATGGATTATGTAGGAGGTACATTAAAATATTATTTATTTCAGGCGCAGGAAACGGTAATATATCTCCAAGAAAACATAGACGCTTACGAGATAGTCCTAGAAGAAAAACGGGCACTAATTCAAATTTAGTGAAGTCACCGACATCGGCAAATAATCATTCCGCATATAGGTATTTATAATTTTTCGATATTATTTCAAATTTGCCGATAATTTCAAAGAAGTGTATTTTATATTATATTAACTAAAAATAATAAATATCTTAGTTGTAGGCCTCGTAGAAAAAGCGGGTCCAATGAAAGCATATCACTTCCCGGTAGTTTGCCTAGAAGAAAACAATCAATTCTCACAGTACCCTGCTTAAGTTCTCTAGAAGCCGAAGATATAAATACTACTAGAACCCTTACCAGTGCAGGCTCAAGATTAACACCTTTACGGTACATTAAAAGTCCAAATACTTCACCTAGACACCACAGAAAACAAGATAGAGGTAATAAAATACATATGAAAGTAATTAATAGACATTATTGTATAGAAACAACAATTCATTATTGTATTTCTTTTAGACGGAAAATTTGCAAAAGCAGCGTCCGCAGAATCATTGCGTTCAGTGTCACCAGGCTCAGACTCTGTTTTCTATTCGGAGCAAACAGAACACAGCTTCACAGGTGCCGATGGAGAAGCTAAAGCTCATTGCTTGCATTGCGGCAAAGAAGTACATATTGTTACTGCTGCTGCACACGAACATGATAGTGTAGCTTCAAGAACTTCACACACTGATGTGAGTAGTATGAATGTCATAGGTATTCGTGTATACGAATCTAGTAATATTACACACTTAAAGCAATATATGTTAGACTTAATTTACGGCCAACATGTAACGATTATGTTGTTAACGGAAACCAATGAATAAAATCTTATAATATGTTTACAAATGTCTTGGTTTCAGGAATCGTATGCTGACGCTACACCAGATATAGTGCCCGCTCCGGCGGGGTTCGCTGATTCCCCGTCATGCATCAGTTCCAAAAAACACTCAAGTGGCGCCAGATTATATAAAAAACTTGATAAAAGATATCGTTCTGAAGACAAATCTAGACACCATTATCGAAACCGACAAGATGTTCGAGCAAAAGTTAGTTTATACTTAGTTTATAATAATATTTTAATTTCTCTTCCAACTATGTATTTAGACATCTGTACATTAAATTATAAATATACATATTTTATAACAACGATTAAATGATACTGTATGCAGTTATGTTTATTTTGGCATTCTTTGTAATTTCAGAATTAATTTAGGATAGAATAAAATGTATTATTTATGGCCATTTTACATATTTATTAAAACGCCTACTTTGTATTATTATTGTTTAAATTAAATTTTTGTTTTTTTTTAGTCTGAAGAAAGAGGAAAAGAAGAATATGCAGCTAATGAAAAACCGGCAGACACAAGAATTGCACGTTCTGCTGGAAATAGTTTAGATAAACTGGCTGGTTCAAGTGCAGATCCTGATGGTTTGTATATTTACTGATGCATCTAATAATTATAAACTCATAGGTAAGGGAAATAGAGTACCACCTACCTTGTTTAATTCGCTTAATAGCTCTTATTTGCTGTATGGACAAGTTTTCATAATATTGTGCTTACTAGACGTGGATTCAATTTGTAACAAGCAATTCTTCCTGATCATGTTATTTCACAAAATTATTATTAAAAAATGATACAAATATAAAGAATACGAAATAGATATAAATAAAACAGTAGAAACCAGTAAACATTCCTGATACAACGGTACCTATGAAATATATGCAGTGAAAAATATTGCCGTAATTATTTTATCAGGAGGAAATAATTTAGATTCATTGTAAGTATTACCAATACTTGCAAAGAATCTGGTAATTTTGTATAAACACATTGACTTGATGTTTTAATATAATTTTTATAATGTTGTATATTATAATAATAATATTTTAGGACAATTCCCACAGCGTCATCTAGTTTCAAGCTAGGCAGAGACTGTTTTATGAGTTCTAGGAAACTTATTTAGATATATAGAAAATACCCAGATTGATACAAACAATCATATTCATAAATACAGGTGTTTGTGCCTTGAGAGAAATCAAATCCGAAAGTAAGGCGGTGTGCTAAACCGCAAGGCCGTCAATTATATATATTGTTAATACTAAAAACAGTAAAGCTATAGTATTTATCTTGTTTATATAAAAATTTACAGAGCATGAAGAGTGTTCGGGTAGCTCGGAAGGAGCTGATGGAGGCCGTGAAGAAAAAGGTGTTTATGCAGCTCCGTGGTGGTGTGGTAACTGGATACTACTTTCTGAAAACGATGATAATTGGACGAGGATACCGCCAGGTAAGTACAATATTACTGTAAAGTTGTCATAAGTGTCGAATGCAAGAATAGTTTTAACCACAGATAAGAGAATTCTTCATAGTCTAAACTAAATTAATAACTGACCACATTGGAAATATAATAAAACAAGAAATAATAGTACCATATAGGTCGTTAATGAAATACTCTAAAGATTGTAATTCTAACGCCAGCTAGCGCCGATGTGGTAAAGCCAAAACTAAATACGGCCAGATTTTATCCAAATATAAAATTTATAAGCTTCGCATTAGTAATTTAATACAAAACTATGCACCTACAATTTTATTAGATATAAGTAAATGTATGTAAATTAATCACAAACACTGATTGTGGTGAACAAATAAATGAAATCATTACAGATCTATTAGAGACCGCTGAAAGTTCTAAAGAAGACCCAACAGAATCGGAAACCGAATTTAACAAGAGATACGTAGCTCTCACACATAGACTTGTGCACAGGCGAGCATGTATTGAACTGAATAGACGACAAGCGGATAATACTTTTGGTAAGTAATTGTCATTGTAAATATAGAGTAGTTATCATTTTCTTTGCGAGATCAAGGAATATTTATTGACCGGGATAAACAGCTAACCTATGTCCTTCTCTGTCTTAATTAAAACATGTATTCTACTAATCCAATGGTGACAAAGTGTCAAGTTACATAAAACGTGTGAGTCCATACGCCAAAAAGACAGCAGCTTAGTTTAATATTTGCTCGAGCAGCAAACCACTGATTTTCAGATATTGCCCAGGAACATACACGAGACCGCATGTAACAAGACCGGCGGCCTAACTAGCTCTACTACACTATTATTAATAACAATTTCTAAATGGCATAAATAACCTTAGTAAATAAAAACATCTGAATAAATAGGGACCACAACTTTCATTGATGTAACGATATGAATACCTACATTATAAATAATTACGATTAAAATAGACGTAACAAGTTTTATTAAATTGTGTCGTAGTGTTAGCAATAAAACAATACCATTATTCTGATCCAATATGACGGGCACGGTGGTCTAGCTTAACACACCGCCTTACTTCCGATAGTCGCGGGTTTGAGTACTCGCACGGTACAAATACTGTATTCATGAGTGGATTGTTTATATTGATCTAGGTGTTTTCTATGTACTATTCTACATGTGTATGTATTTATAAAAAAAAGTATTTATACCAGTTGTCTAGTACCCATTACACAAGTTCGGCTTAACTTGGGACTAGATGACGCTGTGTTAATTGTCCGGGGTTAATATTATTATTATTATTTGTATATTTTGTTTACTCAGCTTTTTTTTTGCTGAGTTTTTACGCTTTGTGTTCTGAGTTGTTAAGCGGCCGTAAGTGTGATTACGCCCAAAACCAAGTAAATGCAGTGCGTACATGCGTGCGTGTATACGAGTGTGCGCTTTTGTGTGTCTATATATTGTGATATTATTATTATTATTATTATTATTATTAATGTAATTTATGTTAATCATGATACTAGTATACATGTATGAATTCCAGTAACATTCCAACTGCTTATTACAAACTAAACGCCATGAACAAGCCATTCTAGGAAGCAATTAATGCGTATAGTTTTGCGTGCGTGTCCTTCATTCTTCTCATTACAGTTTTAACGTTTTCGACGAGTTGTTACGTCATTGCATCTAGCTAAGCGCGTGCATTAACTGTTCTACTTCTAAATAGTGACGTACAAACTATTTCTGGTACTCTCTTTATTTAAATAGCGTCACCTATTATTTTAAGATTGTCCCCTGAATTCTTACGATCTTTACTAGCTATTGATACTAAAATATCGTTCTGACGTAATCTTATTGATCGTTAATTAATACGTGCTAAAGTATTAAGTACTACAATTCTTAGACTTAAAATCTTATAAATTAAAGGTAAGATTTAACGCATTACATTTGGTTCTAGTATTAAAACAACTTCCTGTAACAGCGCTGAAATCGCTGATAAAGCAGCGAACGGTACTCAAGCGGACTAAATTTAATTTTGAATCGTTCCAAACGTCAGTTCTTAGTTGTTGAAGACACGCGACTGTAGCCAGATGATATTTTTACGTGTAACGTTGTGAACGGTTGAGTTTGTATTGATTTTACATTTGGTAACTACATGTTCAGTCAAATTATGTCGTGGCTGACGTAATATTAATACGGTGTTTGCGCGAAAACTTAATTCTGTGACAAAATCGGGTCAACGTAATACAAAGTTCAAGATCGTACGTTTAAATACGAATACAGCATGGGCCATTCCTGTAAGTAGTTTCATTTCATTATTCACTATTTTTTTTAATAAAGAAAGTTTTTGCTGTTTTATATAATAGTCGCCTTTGTTGATGTTATTATTTTTTATTATTATTATTTCTAGTTAAAGACGTATTGACAAGCCCTAAAGGGAGTCTCAGACAGAAATTAGAAGAAATCTTCAAATTGATGTTGGTGGTCTGGTGTCGACAGTGTCAAGTAAATAAATTAGTAGCTGCAGAACCTTGTGGTAAAAAGAACGAACATTTTTACTCTTTGAATTTTTTTTATATGGTTCGATTAACTGAAATTTAGGTAATTCGTATTTACATAGTGATGTTATAATTTTTATTACAAGATATTAGTTTTTATAGTGATTTGTATACAGTGCAAAACATTAATAGTTATCATGCAGAATATGAAATTATTTTTTACAATATTTTTAGAATTATTCTGTCTAGTTAAATGCCTAATTCTAATTATCGAATTAAAAGTACCGGGATAGAAATTACTACTCAATAAAACAAAAAAATTTCAGGGTTAAATAAATTTTATTATTTCTTTAATAGGTACCCGTATGTATAATACTTCGTTATTTGTATTAAAGATATTCTACACTAGCTGTTCCCGCGACTTCGTCCGCATGGAATTTAACTTCATTTTTCTAAAATAAAACTAGCCTAAGTTACTCCTTATTACATTAGCTATCTAACAAAAAAGTCCAGTCAAAATAGGTCCAGCCATTTCAGAGATTAGCCGGAACAAACAGACCGACAGACAGACAGACAGACAAAAATTATAAAAATTGTTATTTTGGTGTATGTACCGTATTTATTTTCATATGCATGCAGTAAAGATGGTTATTTCAATATTACAAACAGACACTCCGATTTCATTTATATGTATAGGTATCATATCTCCCATAAGAGTGCTTAAGATTAAGTAATTCTCTTATCAAAAAGTTGAGAAAAAAACAGTCTTATCCATAGTTTTCTGTAAACATGGATCATAATAACATAAAACTGTAAAAGTCACGTCATAGTCATTTTTGGTTGATGAACTGTATTATGGCGCTTAGAAAAATAATGCAATAATACATTACTTACTCTTTTCAAATCATACGATATTATATTCCAACCGTTGATATAAAAAACATACCTACCTCATATTTTTATTTCTGTGGGATTTCCCAAAATTTAAATTCGCAGTAGAATTTGTAGGTAAGTAGAATGGAACATAACATTAAATCTTACAAATTATACAAAGTATTAGAGTCTTACTTAATTTCATATAATACATACTCGTACATCACTTTATATATTATTCTCGTAACGTAGATTTTAGTTGAGAAGAACTGGCCGTGACAGAAAAATAAAAAAGAACCTATTTCAATAGGTTACATTTTTATTTTATTCATATTGATTATTTGAAGCTTCTTCTACTTCTACTATCTACCTTACGTAAACTAGAAGAATTATATGTAGCTAAACTTATATATATTGGAATAGAATATATTATTGATTATAGGATTACATATCCTTGTTATTTTATATATATAAACTGGCTGTACTCGCGACTCCGTCCGCGTGGAATTTAACTTACCTTTTTTAAAATAAAAGTAGCCTAAGTTACTCCTTATTATGTCAGCTACCTGCAAAAAAAGTCCCGTCAAAATCGGTCCAGCCATTTCAGAAATTAGTCGGAACAAACAGACAGACAAAAATTGTAAAAAATGGTTATTTCAATATTACAAACAGGCATTAATATATATAGATAACGCTATTTTCATATGTTCCTAAGTTCCTAGGTTGTAATAAGAATACATAACCACAACATAACTTAGTATTATAGGTATATTTTGAATTCTACGAAAAATTCAAATCTTTTGTAATTGTTACATTTGTATTATTACTGTAATTAATAACTGTGTTATTACGAAACAAAGATATTCTTGCAAATAGGTGGTTTGACTATACAATTAAGAAACGATTTTGAGAATGTTTGCTTCTTTAATTTTTTTCACGATGAATCGTTCGTGTGCCAAAGTTTTATGTTTTTATACTTACAAAGACGATACATTTGTAATAGATGAATTTAAAATATTCTAAACTGATTTTTAAAATTCCCTTATAGTCAATATAGCTAAATTATTCACTATCAGATATAATTATGAGTTATTTAATTTAATAAAAAATATTGAATTTACAGTATTTGCATCTTTACTAGGACAATATAAATACACTCTGATTATGGTCTCTAATAATATTTCTGTCTCAAGGTCCCTTTTGTTTTCTTCCCAGTTTCTGATATCTTGAATTTTGAAAGTATGTACTGTTAGTTATAATGTATCTTTGACAGTAAAATAATTTCTGATGTCTAAATTTTAGTCTCCTAATTAGAACAATGGTTATCCTCTCCATATAATAATATATTAATTATATTATATAAATTAAATCAACATAATTTTATTTATAGATAAATGTATATCATATAGTGGTATTCTCATTTATTATTGGTAAAATTTGGAATTCCCCAAGTATCAAAAATTTTCGTTTATCCACTTTAAATAAAAATAGAGAAGTCTGGCCATCTGTAACACTGACGTCACTTGTTTAATACGTATTATATTGTAATGTTTACTGATATGTAATACATACGAATCTAAATCCGTCTAGTTATCTTCAATACATACTTTTTTACATGTACATTATAGAATTTATTTACGCTGCCTGTTTATTTACCATAGACATCACACAATTCCAGAAGGTAATAATCGCATTGTATGAATGAACATAGCTTTAACAGGTTGGAACTATGCCAAAATATTTTAGAGTGAAAGTAATTTTGCAAGCAAATATACGTTCTAGGCATCAAGTGCATAAATGTATGTCAGGGTCGATTTTTTCTCATTTTACAGCCGTCTGTAGGCCACCATTTACGATTTAGATAACCATATTAAACGAAGATTTAAAGAATTAGTTACGCTGTAATGATAAACAGGTTTATTTGGGATTTCAAATGCTGTGAGCAGTCTTTAAATACATCATACATTATAGAAATGTTGTTATGAATATACTGATACACTAGTATATTCTACAAACGATAAAATTATCAAATAACTTTTTTTATGGAATTGTAATGGAAAACAAGCTGACGGTCCACCATACGTTAATCATCGTTTCTTTACATGAATACCACTATGGACATCATGTTATCGTCAGACGCCCGCAATGATGCTCATGCGTTGTTATTCCGTAGGACTTATCCTGTAATTTAACTGCTTTGTCTCACCTTTCAGCCGAAAAACAGCTTACAAAATAAGCTGGTTGGCTTTTGAAAAATATAGACACGCAGAATATTTTTTCAACGCCTATCCACAATATTTCTTGTACAAGGATAAAGATGCAAATATGCTCGATTTTAAAGAATCTATCTAATACACGATTTGACACCCAACCAGTTGGACTAATTTTTCAAATCCTCACAAATTGGCACCAGAGATGGCTAGTTGAGTTAGTCGAGCTCAATGTCCTAACTGTGGGAAAAACCCCTCTTCAGTTTCTAAAAAATATCGTACAGAGTATACCCTATGTAGTACAAGTAGGTATATTTATATTGACTCATTTATTATATTACTAATAGAAACAATTGCTCACAGAAAGTGACAAGACAGTCGTCGTCAGACGTGGCAATGAGGAATTCGGCTTCAGAATCCACGGAAGCAAACCAGTCGTAGTGTCAGCGATCGAACCCGATACCCCGGCCGAAACATCGGGTTTAGAAGTTGGTGATATAGTAATAGCTGTTAATGGTAAAGTTATAAGTCAATTACTGATTTTTTTTAATGAAACTTATTTTTTGTTTATTATTGCTGCAGTAGGTATTATTAGAATTCATAAATTTGTATTTCAAATATAATTCGTTTTAATACAAATAATGTCGCGATATGCTGAATGATAAATTTTAATTTGGAATAAAGTTATATGCATAGGCTATTTCTATTTATTTAAAATCAGTTATAATACGTTCTTTATACTTTAATTGCGCCGCTGTTTTATAACTACTAACTATCTGCTCATTATTTTACAGGGATCAATGTTTTAGATAAGACTCATTCTGAAGTAGTGAAAATAGCTCATTCGGGATCAGAGATACTCGAATTAGATGTAAGTGTATATAAAATACTGCATTTGATATAGTAGTCAAATATATTGGTATACCCAATTGTCTCATATAAGGTCCCTACTATATTTTTACCAGTATTATGTAATATATTTGTATTCAATTAGTTAAACTACTATTTAGTACAAAACTTACATATATTTAAAATCATTATTTTGTTAAATTAATACTTTTTTTGTTGTAATTTTATACTAGACATATGTCTAGTAGAAATAGCCGTAGAAATGAGCCGTTAGTTGCATTAGCGACAATACGTATATATGGAGGGCTTATTTTTATTTGTAACATTGATGTGCCCATAAGACACATCAATGTTACAAATAAAAATATTCAGATACTAAATAATAAAAGTAAAGTAATAGCTTAAACTCTCTCTCTTTGCATTGTAATTTTAGGGTCATCAACCTGAAATTGTACCCTGAAACCGTGCTCAGTTTAATAGCCCCATTTAATTATCACTATACTAATTAAAATTCGCGTTAGGTGGCAAGAACATGCGAAGTGGTGGCGTCATTAGCTCACGAAGGTGGACCAGCAGCTCTATACTCAGGATATCTATGGCGAGCAGCGCCAGTCAGACCTCATCATCCACCTCGTTGGACCCGAAGATGGTTCGTCCTGAAGAGGGACAACTGCCTTTACTATTACAAGACAGATTCGGTACTCATACTATATTTTTTTATCATTATGTAACCAAAATTGATTTCATTTCGTTTAAAGTTTATTCTGATAACAGTATTTTTTTTTTGTTTTCTGTTTGAGCTGTTGACACTAAGATAGTTGAAATTACTTTGGTACTATTAGAAAACAGACTCAGTACTCAATTTCACATTATTTTTTTAAGGTTATGAAACCTATATTGTATGTCTTATCGTTTAATGGTTATTCTGATAATTGGATATTTTTTTTAGTAACTTTCTATTTCATGTTGTTGATAAAAGCACCGAAGACTAGTATTGGTCCATACTGTGCCGACAGTGTTACTCATATACCTATGTTATCGGTATGTATTGTCAGGATACTGTACTGAATTCACCAGAAATTGATTACTAGGTTTTCAGAAATTGATTACAAAAGGTTTCTCTATTAAATAATCCGGATTGATTGTAAGAAATCTGATAGATATATACTTATATACTATAGTTAAATTACATACAAGTCTACTTGACTATATATTAATAATCCCATGTCATTTCCCGACTCGAAGACGGTCCCATTGATTGTAAGAAAATCATTTATTCAAATAAACTTACATTGATAGATATATACTTATATATTATTACTTTACATTTTTAAGTTTAAATGTGTGAATACAAACCACCAATTAGCACTAATTCAATTAAATACTCAAAATGAAAAAATATTGAATACATAACCAACTGGTTAAACAATTAATAAGAGACGTCAGTATATTACAGACCAGTCCAACATGTTCACTCTGTCATTTCAGCCATCACTGCGCTCGACCATATTTTAGGGAGCCCAATGACGACCACGCCGCCACAAGTCGCATTTTAGACGTTCAAAACACCAGTTCTAGCGAAAATCAATCAATTAAATCAAGAAAGCAATGAGAAAATACAATATTATATCATATATTTTATTAAATTAACGCTCTTATTTATTTCCAGAGTATACACCCAGTAGGTGCACTAATGCTTGTTAACTATCAACTTACGGAGGAAGAGGGAGGAAGACCACATGGCTTTCGATTACAGCGCGGCGGCGGTACAAGATTGCAACTAGCCGCTGACACAGCGGAAGCATCCGCTAGATGGCGCGCTGTACTCGCGCATGCAATAGACGCTAGTAACCAGGTAATTTTATTAAAAACTAAACAACCATCCAGGTTTTACACGAATATAAGTTTAAAACAATCTAATCAGCTGACTAAAGGTCAATAGGACTAAGGAACCTTGTTCTGACAATTACAATTCAATTTAGCCAAATAGGTACAGCCTTTCTAAAATGATGAATGACTTGCATACGTGCGGGTTGTTATTTCTCTCTCTCTCTCTTATATAGATTAAGATTTATTATTTAATAATATTGTAATAGTAGCACATTTCATATGAAAAAGTAATGTATGTAATGGCTAACATCTATTTACGAGACTAAACACTAATTATGCTGTCTGTTATTGCTGATAGTGCCTATAAACAACAGATGGCGTGCATTTTTGGCACCATACTTAGGTGATTTTAATACCATAAACTGGACTTAGTCGATCTAAAAATGAATTTGAATGTTTGGAATAGAATTGTGGAGCGTCTGTTTTCTAATAAAAATTGAGATACTAGTTCAACTATATTTACTTCGTTTTTATATATTACTTGGTTTTTGATGTTGAAACGTGTATTAGTGGGTACATTTTCTAGTTTTCTTTTGTATGTAATTAATCATGTTTGTAATTGATATATCATAATGTTGTGCATTGTATCCACAATATATTTATATGACCGGAATAGCAAAAGGGGGCAATACTATTTTGCTAAAAATAATCTTATCACGACAATAAAAATCTAAAGTAAAGATTGGAAAACTTTGTCATATTCCGTTTGTGTCATATATATGATATATATATATATATATATATATATATATATATATATATATAATATATATATATAAGTCTTCTTAACATCAATGAACAAATATCACGTTGAAAACATCGGTTCTCGTCCCATCACCGAAAAAAAACTTAAGTATATTTTTTTAGTCATAATTTTTAATTTATACGTTGATTAGTCAAACATATTATTATAAATTCGTAATTATCTAAGTTTATGTTCATTAGTACATATTTACAAGTTTAGGGAATATGAATTCCGCATAGGATTTATTTTATAAATTTATCTTAAAACTAGTAATCATTCTTTTCGCCCATAAAAAAAATTATCGTAGCAAAAAAATCAACGGCACGCGGTGTTCCCAGGCGGTCACCCAACCAAGTACTGACCGAGCCCGACTTTGCTTAACTTCGGTGATCGGACGAGAACCGGTGTTTTCAAAGTGGTATGGACGTTGACAAGCATTTTGTTTAAAACTTACATGATTTTAGCTACGAATATGTAATTTATTTTTTCACTAATATATGATATTATGTTATAATAGTTTTTTTCACAAAAGTACGCGTAGTCATTATACTTACTTATACTACAAGACATCGAATAATGCTTTAATTATTTGAATGTAAATTATTATTCTTGTTTACAATAATGATATGTTTGTGCTAGCGTGACGGCTGGTTAGAAGTCACAATGAGAAATATGAAGTTGCCGCCTTCGTCTATACCACGGCCTGACTGTTTCGGATATCTGATGAAACTGGGCTCAAAATGGAAGTCATGGGCGAAGAGATATTGCGTGCTGAAAGATGCCTGCTTGTATTTCTACAACGATGGAAACAGCAAAAGTGCATTTGGTACGTTGTCCATGTCTATACTTTTATTATTATTGTAAGGTGCCACCAAATTAGGGCCCTACCTGTATTTTCTTCTTCGAGGCATTGTATTGAATGTTAGTATTCCTATAATGATGGAATATCGTGTCCGAGATATTTCGGTATAAAAATATCCTTAATAAATACAAATATGTGTTCCATGTAGCATAAGTTAGCTTTTAAAATAGCAATTGTCGCTTCGGTATGCTTTGATAGGTTTGGATCAATAAACTGCCATAGTACCCAAATAAACCTATACTTGTGTAGTAAGGCACTATATTTAATTCAGTAAAAAGAAATTGATATGAAATATATGTACTAGGTGTATAAATATGAAACCGGACTGATTTTTGAAAAAAATTATCGTTTAATACTCTAGACACATAGGGGCGATTTTATTCGAAATATTTTCCTTCGTTAGCTACACAAGTCTCCCACCTCTCGGGCAATTTTCGAATTCCGCGGCGGACGAATTCTTCACCTTTTGACCCGAACCAATTTTCGACCCATTTTGACACTTCTTGAAAATTGGCGAAGCGGTGCTCAGACAATGCGTGGCCCATTGATGCGAAAATGTGATAGTCGGATGGAGCAAGGTCTGGAGAGTAGGGCGGGTGGGGTAGAATCTCCCAGCCGAGACCTGCGAGCACTTCTTTTGTCGCATTTGTCCTGTGAGCCGGAGCGTTGTCGTGTAGCAAGATTTTTCCCTCGTGCCTTTCCTGCCATTCCGGGCGTTATTCAAGCAGAGCTGCGGTCAAACCTCTCATTTGTTGTTGATAACGAACCTGGTCGACCGTCTGGCCAGGCTCGAGCAGTTCGTAGTACACCAGACCCTTCTGATCCCAAAAAAGGCAAAGCATATGTTGCTCTGATTCACTTTGCTGATTTCACCGAAGTACCTGGATCAACCCAACCTCTAGGTCGCTTAGGATTCTCGAAATAGATCCACTTTTCATCTCCAGTTACAATCCGGTGCAGAAATCCTTTCCTTTCGAACCTGGCAAGGAGCATCTGACAAGTGGTTTCTCGCCGCTGTATCTGTCTTTCGCTCAATTCATGTGGGACCCACTTCCCGAACTTGAGAATCTTTCCCAACGCCTTCAGGCGTTGCGAGAGGCACGGTTGGGTCACGCTGAGTTGCTCTGCAAGCATCTTCTGTGTCTGACAAGGGTCTTCTGTAAGCAGCGCTTACAGCTCTTCGTCTTCGAACTTTTTTGAGGGCCTTCCACGCGGTTGGTTCGTTACGTCATACTGACCCGCTCTAAACTTCTTGAACCACTCAAAACATTGTGTGCGGCATAGGGCATGATCGCCGTAAGCTTCCACAAGCATTTGGTGACCTTCCTCGGCGGTCTTGTGTAAAAAAAAAACAGAATAAAAGATTTCCCCGCTGAACCTCACTTGACGGCATGTACCCAGCCATTTTCGGCGGTAATATAAAAATTATCTAAATGCAAAAGTGGCGGCTTTTTGATTGGAACTCGTAGTCGGATTCCTCAACAATAACATATAATAAGTTTCAGCACCGTAAGCAGACCACAGCGATTTTGGCGGCACTTTTAAGAAAAATCCGGTTTCATAAGTATATATTGTATAAATTAATTATTGCTATTAAAACATGAAATTCCTTTATTATCATATTATATAAAGCATATATAAGTACTGAGCACTATAGTAAGGAATACCATACAAATAACAGTGAGGTAGCACTTCATAAAAAGCTGAAATTTTTGAAAATGTAAACTATTTTTGAGCGCTTAAATCTCTGGGCTCTAGTTGTATTTGATAGTCAACTCTTGAGGAAGTTCATATACTATAAAACATAAGACTACGACCCTTAGCAGTTGAGCAAAAATAAAAAAGATTGAACACTTAAATTAATAGTGCGGCCGTGTAATGCGATGCTATACCGGATGTTAGGGAACAGGAGTGCTCAGTATTCCTTTGAAATTATATAGCAGGTGAAACCTCGAGGCATAGATATGCCTCGAGGTTAAGAATATAAAATAGAACAAAACAATTGAACCTCAATTGTTTTGTTCTATTTTATATTCTGCTCAACTGATAACATATTTGAACTGTGAATAATAATCTTAATGTGACTCGTTTTCGAATAGTAGATAAAGTCATTTGACGCCCGTACGCCTCATTAGTTGCTATACCGGAGTTGTTATTTTACGTACTCTGTAATTTCACTATGCTATATCTCACACTCCAACAAAAGTTACAAAGAAGCTGATTTGTGTATGAAATAGTGTGTAAATAGAATAACCACTAAAATGTATGTTGTTTATCTTAAAGCTAGAACACTTACGGTGTAAGCACAGAGAAAATATATATTTGAAAAATAAAACTTGTGACATTTTACGATTATTAATCTATATTAGGTGTTAATGTTGTGATAAAGAGCTTGAGTAATACAAATTTGCAGCTAATTTTAGCATCTTGAATATCTCTATTTAGCCGTGTCGGCTTGTCATACTGAATATACTGGAAAGTATTTACGACATTAGCATTAACTGTCATTATAAGGAAAATGAACTATTATCATGCCTTTCTTTATAACAATATGATAGCGTAATCTATACAATGTTTAATGTATGGAATGAATAAATTGAACACATTTTTACGTACAGAATGCTACTTTTTATGCGACAAGTATAGGTTATATTGTACTAAACATGAGAGAATAGAGATGTAGAGATTTCTTTAATGGAGCCCATTCAAAGCTAAAAGCATTATTGGTTAATGATTACAATGCTACTTGTTTTTTTTCAGGTATGGCATGTCTTCACGGGTACAGGATACAGACGTGTGCGCCAGGCGGCAAAAAATACGCGTTCGAAGTCATGCCTACAGAAACCAAACAGCGGCACTTCTATTTCCACACCGAGTCAGAAATGGACAGAAAGAGGTAAAATGGACTGAACATTATTGATTAATTTCCTTAGACTTCGTGTTATTATTTGACAGCTAGAGAAAAAAGTGCTACTTATTGGTACATATTACATATATCAGGATTTTAAGAACATTTTGTAATCTAAATAAGTTGATGGATTTTGATTAGAATTTGTTATATTTTTCTTGATATAATTATGAATCAGTTATATATTCTGTAATAAATAATATTTGGAAACTTAATTTGACAGCCCGAATTCTGTTGCTTTATTGCATCCAATTCTTTAATTTCTATATTGTAAGTACATTTTATACAGTGTACATTTTATCAGAGGATCGTAAAGTTTAAAGTTCCTGTACCTCATACCATCGAACTTTATTTTATGCAATTGTAATGGCAGATAAGCTGACAGCCCACCTGATGGTAAGTGGTAACCATCGCCTATATACTTGAATAGCGCTACAGACATCACCTTGTTGTGTTACGCCAGAGATGGACATTTTCCTTATCCTGTAATTTTACTGTCTTATCTTAATCTACACACAGCTTACACAGCAAGCTGCTTAGCAAACTGAATAGACAACGCCACTACACATACCATGTGGTTGTAGCCCATTGAATGTATATACTCTATCCTTAGGAAATAAAAACCATCGCTCCCAAGAATATTTTTTAATTCCTGTCCCTGACGGGCCTAGGCAGCGAACTCTGAAAAAGGGTTGGCACAATAGGTCTATGTAGGTGCTACAGATCTAAGCACCTAACAATAGCCTAAACCCCTCAATAAAGAAATTCGCTTATTAACTGAAATCTCAAAAGATTTTTACAAAAAAAGCATTATTGTTAATTTATAAATACCGCTAAAAATTGAATTTAAATTCTCCTACTGCCTTATGCCTTATGTTTTTATCTAATTTCATGATATTTTATAAAATAATATAGTCTACATTATATATTTTTTTATTCTAGATGGATGGCCGCTTTGGAATACTCTATAGACCGATGGATGAAGGCCGGTTGACGACGACACATCACTCCAGATGATTCATTCGACGTCTAAATAATAGTTTCATTAAATTATTTTATTTTATTTTGTTTTCCGTTATTTGTACCTTTTTTACACACAAGCTTACAAAGCAATGGAATATATTTAAATTTTATTTTGGATAAATTATTTAATATTTTTATAATGTATGTATTTCTTATATAATGTTGAGGAAATATTATGTAGATTTATTTCTATCAGAATTGCTGAACTTAGGTAATATACCTATTGTATACTAAGAATGTAGAATTATTTATTCACGAAAACTATCAATATTTTAAACTTGTTATAAGTATATTATAAACACATAATAATAAAAACAGTAAATCACTAAAACAAGATAATTTTACATAGTATTTTTAGGATTCATATATGTACGCTTTGAAAATAATATAGTATATTATAAATTATGTCGCTGTGGTTAACCTACTGTTTACCTGTTCGTAGAACATTTTCGGTCTGTCTGGTGTATTGTCTGTGTATCTTAAGTATTTACATCAGACACCTATAATTACTCCTCCGATCGATCCACAGTCCAATTTAAATGGGGATCTAAATTACAACGGCCTGAGCTGACCCCTAGCAGTGCCCTCAGACAAAAGTCATATCCGTCAGGCGAGATTTGGCCTTCAGCCGCGCCATAAGTCTTTCCGCAGGTTTGAAGTGCCATCTATACTCGGCCCCTATCGTCCGATGAACAGCATTAGAATAGTCCGAAAAAACTGACAAAGAAGTTGAAATTTTATTACCACGTGACATGTACAGTAAGAATCGTCCAAAATGTCTACTATGCGCATACTGCGCTGCAGAAATGTATTATGTATAATACAAGAATGTTATGTCGAAATTGAGCATTTAATTTATAAATTGCGTTATAATATAAAACTTCATATATTTTTTGAGGGATAAAAATACGCCATTGATTGCCAATATCTTCCCAGGTTATTAGCTGTGGTCAAGTATTCCTGAGTCGTGTCTCTAAGTATCCTTAACTGATTTTCTTATCCTAGCTAAAAATTGGGTGACTGGTGTATTTCTTAATTATCATCGTCATCACTCATCCACCGTCCAATGATGTAAACAAATCTCTCCCATATCATGTGACAAAGAACGGTCTGGATCACCGGCATCCATAATTTTTTACTAACTCAATAATAAAATATACTTAAATAGTACTATTCCAAAATCACAAATAGATGTATTATTATATATATGTGGGCCGGTGCTGGCAGGGAGCCGGTCTAATTCCTTGCCATCAGATATGTTGAAGTGTAAAGCAATCATATATAGTAATATTTACTAAAAAATATGATATTTGTTAATAAAATTATTTATTTAAAAGATTACGTTACAATTTTAGTAAAATGATATTTTACAGATAATGTATAATGTAACGACGCATCGAAACTTTAAAATGTTTAAAAGCATAGCTTTATCTATGTTATTCTAAATAAATATTTAATTAAAGATATATCATATTAGAGAATTAATAACCATGTTATAAATAAAGTTTTTTTATACTTAATATGACTGATAAAAATGAGACTAAAATATAAACGTCGAATAATGAAGAGAGATTTGATGGAAAGTATGATTATGTATATAAAAACAAAATCGTATGAATATTGAAATGGATTAATTGAGAAATATTAAATATAGTCTTATCGAGAGAAGCTGAGTTTGACGTTAAAGTGCTAAAAAGAAATGCACAATTACCATTAAAAAACACGCAAGTAAAGTTTGAATGCGAAAAATTTCTAGTAATTACATTAGAATAGTTTTATAGTTATGTTAGTAGGTTAGATAGATGTTTAATTACTTTGTCAAAATATTTCAATCGTCACACGTAATATAATTGTTATTATAGAAGAAAATATTCAACATTTCATTTATTATAGCACATATATTGTAAAACAGAGATAATTATAATATGTATAAAATTGTTTCCATTTAAACTAATAAAGTTTTAGATAATTTATTGAATATTATATATTTATATATAAAATATATTTAAGCCGAAATAATATTCCTATTACAGTAGGTAAATATTAGATGTGGAACGTAGATATTACTATTATAAAGTATTTAATTAAATGTATATGTCAAAGCATGGTAAGCAGTTCATAATTGATATTAGATAGTGATTTTTTTATTTGATTAAAAGCACAAACTATGAATCACAAATAATTAATCATATTATCATTATTGAATAACAACTGACTTTGTCTTTCATGTGTAACCCTTCACATTTCTATAATCGCTGTCAGTGTTGTGACTCTCTTAATACTTTCCTATTCATTTATGAATTAAGCATGTTTTTATGTAATTTTAATGTAAAATTATTTCTTTATCACCGTTGTATATAACGCTAATATTGGAAGGGTTACGGAAACGTATATTTATAGTAAAAAATAAATTATAAAAATATAATAATGATTATTTGTTAAAACGTATGATTCAGTACTATTTCCCCTTAGAATGTGGTCCATACTAGGTGACTTAAAATTGTGCATTAAACTAATAAATAATAGATGAGTAAAATTCATGTTGATGGTATGTATATAAATAATCAGGTAAAAGCTCAAATATACTTAAATGATAAAATAAAAAGACTTGAAACTAAACAAAATCTATATAAATGCTTATAGAGTAGAAATGTATATTAGTGAGTGTTAAAATTATAGATATTAAAGTTATCGAAGTTTTGTTTAGAGTATCTACACACTTTGAAATCTGTGGTTACGTCGGAGCAAGTGAATATCTCGCTGTTAACAGGATTTGTATGCCATTTGATTAGATTCGGACGAGTCGATGAGATTACTGTTCCGATATGGCTACCGATTTTAGGGTCGTGTGTGGTGCTTTTAGATTGTCGCAAGTTTATAAAGTCACGTTATAAGAATATAGTATTGTGTATTAATAATTCATAGATTTATCATCAGTAAAGAAATAAAATAGATACTTATTAATGTGTTCAATAAATAAGTAATCCACGTTTGAAAGTTTTTAAAAGTTTATTTAATTTTTAATATTTAAACTGGTGCCAAATATAAGCGAATTCGTATAACAAAGATGCCACATTAGATTAAGTTTTAAATATAATTTTTATGCACTGTTAATTTTATCGAAATTCTATGTTTATATTGTAAGAAGGTTTATTGAGAGTATGAAACATTTGGGACGAAGAAAATAATTTAACGTCTATGTAGACGATTTTTTAAATATATATGTGACCATATGTATAGATTTCGTTGTAATAAAGTATTAAAAACTATCGATATTATTATTTCAATATATGCCCATGTAGTTAAGTTATAGTTAAGCTTAGCCCAGCAAAACTAGGCATTATCTTTATATTTTTATTTTGTAAACAGTATTTTGTTTATAAGTGTTGAAGGGACTTATAGCTCTATTTTTTATTAGTTCCTATGTGTATGATACATTTTTTTTAGGATTTTAAGTTACGGAACTATTCTCTACAAAGCTAACCCAAACTTAAACTTAATGTAACCAGATAATTATGTACAAACTGACTATTTATACGTAAATGCAAAATAAATCGTGTTATTTTTTTTATTTTCAAACAATAATTAAATATCAACTTGAATTTTTATGCTTAAACGGTTTCTTTCTAAAAGAGATTGAAGCTATTGATTTGTACTACGTACATGTAATATTCAGTAAATAGCTTTTAGAAAGTAGGCAACCTATAGTGAATGTTAGATCTATCACAAGAAATATAAAAATATTATCTAAGTCATGGTTTTTATAGATATATTTATTAATTAACAACTACAAGTCAAATTCATGACCCACGAATTAAGTCGAGGGCGGCGTTAATTTACACGACTTATAAGCTACTAACACGAAAAATAAACAATTCAGCGATATCCTTCCCTTTTTTACTGCTTCTAAAGAAAAAATGGGCTGGTAGAAGGCTTCGGTTGGCGGCGTGTGGGGAGGGGACGCCACGGGAGCGCTACTGCCTGCCTCTGACGGCGCGGGCGCGGTAGTACGCGCGCTCTACTCCCACCAACCGCGCGCTATCTGCGCATACGCAGCCTTTGCACAGTGTTGCCATACATAAAAAATCTACAGTGATATGATATACGTTCCAAATTCAAAGTGGATTACAGTGAATAAACTTAGACCAGTGAATTAAAGTGACAAACCCCGTGTGGACAGGTGATACAGATATACCGTATCTACTTGGAGCAATAACTTTTTCGCTCAACAACACCTATTAACTGTTTATGGCCTGTATAGTGCGTCTATTGTAGTGTGGAAGCGTATACTAATCTATTCACCTGTCTCGACGCTACCTTCTGCGGTTGGACTGTGAAATGTGACAAAAAATTGCAATGAGCTTCTATTGTTGTGCGGACCCTTCGTTTGTAAACTTTGTGGGTTAACTACCTGACTACTGGAGGGTTGAATTGGACACATCTGACGATCGATCGAGCAACTCGTCTCCTTGTGAGTTCTATTTTTTTATAATTGGTAATTTAATACAACGGATGTGGAATAAATTGGGTAGACGGGGTGCGCTTGAACGTCGCTACCTGTTTTGTATGGTCATATGCTTGATAGATGTTTGTGTGTTCATTTACTGTTTTTATAGCAGATGTTACCGGAGTGGAGGAAATTAAACAATTCTGAGAAGTAACGGCTCTGCGGTTTACACCATTGTTCTATAGTTTTACACCGACGTTTACTTAACATTTCCTGCTACTGTGTTTCGCAGTAATTATCATGTATCATTGTATTCATTAAGATGAAGATTTACACCTTTAATGTGTACCTAACGACTACAATATACGTGTAGACGTACTTATATATACACGTATATATAGATAGCCAACAATGAAAACTTGTACAAATTACAGATGTCTTATATTGGTATAATAATTCAATTAAGTTGACAATATCTGTATTTCAATTATTTTATCAAACCGTGTGTGTAATTATTACAGTCATTTTAGTTTTTAAACGGTATTATTATTTTTTATATCAATTAGCAATATATGTATACTCATATTATCTGGATGCAACTTGTTAAGTTCAAAAACCCCGACTCTTCATTTTCAGATATTTTACAGTTTATAGTTATGCTTGCCCTTATTGTTTGTAGTTTTCATTTTTCAATTTCAGCAAAAGGATAAGTAGATACTTAGACAATATACAGTTCCTGAACTTATTTTATGTAACACCAAATAATTGACATGATACAGGCACGCAAAGACTAGTAGGTATCTGAGTATGCAGAACTGATGGTCGCTGATTCGATTTCAAACATATTTGTAAATCCAATATATAGTTACTACGGGTAACTACCTATTTATATACCTGTTTACAAAAACAGTATTAAAGTATGTCTATCAGTCATCATAAAGATAACACGTATATTGCTGACACTATTTAGCAGCCTATTAGTCGGCTCTATATTTTTAGTTTAGACTAAGAAGATACGGTAAGAGATTCATATAAAGAGAGACATATAGAGATGAAAGTGCTGAATTGGTATACCAATTTGTTTCGTTCATACAGATACAGAAGTAGATACTACTGCATGTTCTATGCATAAACGATACAAATATACAAAGGAATTTAAATCAACCGCTAATGTATTAAGGTTTAAAATTGGTAACGAACAAAACGGTTTCCTCGATCGGTAGAGCAGATCACTACATAAGGTAAAATTTAGCCTTCCAGCCTGTCAGTTAATAGATTCCAATATCCATTACCTACCAAAAATTCTACTGATTGTGTATTAAAGTTTGTGGAATCTAGATGCTTTAAGCATTTTTGTTTTATATTGTATACAAGGAAAGAGCGATTTTACCACGTTTTGTTAAGTCACGACTTTCTAATATTTCAATAATTGGATAAGCCATGATTACGGCCAGACTAAAAAAGTATCAGAAAAGTTGTAGATTGTGGGTAGGACATTATTCTGTATTGAGTAATGAAATAGCAAAATTAATTTCAAAATATAAAAATGGTAGTAGCTAATTAACAACCTTAACGCAATATGTACTGTGATCATTATTGATATAATCAATACTTCAACAATCTCAATGTAAGGTACATTACAATAGGTGACATACGTTTTTTTTAATATTGTTGATGTAAATAATAACGGCTCAATAATGTTAGAAAAAAAAGTATATATAAGTTCTTAAATCTCAGTCTTCCAAATTCTGTTAAATTGAGAGATAGAGGCATCGATTGGAAATATTAGTTGACAATAGTTATTATGGAATTAATTAATGATCGATAACACTCAAAGTTTAATAGTCAGTAAAATTATATTTTAGGGTGGACGAGGGTGGGTACACTATCGAATTCAATCAAATTATTATATTCGCTTAAGCGTAACACGATTGGTATTCTTATAAATCAGATACATTAAATAATATAATTTACGCATAAAATATTCTACAAAAGACATTTTATAATGTATGTAAATCAGATCCGCGCTACTAACTACATATGTATTGGCACATCATCGTCGAAACACTATGATATGCCCATTTTGTTGCAAAACTAATATGGATTTTATTACGATCCTGTTGATTTTTATTATAATTCAAACACATTATGTCGTTGAATAAAAATGCGTCATAAATTATGAACATAAACCTATTATAAAAATTTAACTAATCGCTGTCTGTAAGTACATCATAGATAAACCTAAAAATAACTATAATAGTGAGATTTTATCAACATAATATAACTGCGCGATTGTACGCCTTTATTCCTGAAACAGTTTAACGAATTTGTATGCTGTTTTCACTCATTTATTTCGGTAAGCTTCACCTAAAATCATGTGGTTATTTTATACTAATCGGTTTACAAAAAAAATGTTATAGGGGTACAAATACGTGGGCTCAGATAGTTAATAAATAATTATGAGGACAATATTTTCAACTTTATGTCTACTACAATAACAGTAGAGTTGGAATATGATCTGATTGCTAAGTAAATAGTAGTTAATCTTTACCATCAGTACGATAACAATAATCTAATCATTAATGTTTGAATAGATTATTATCATGAAACCTTGCGGCACCGAAAATGAAACGCGTAATATTGAGCCATAAAAGTTATTTGCCTGTAGATACTGAATCAAAAGTACGTAAGAACTTAAATTTTATGTTCTTTTACTTAATTATTATGACAAAAATGGTGACCAACTACCTGATGGCAATCGGTAACCACTATATATATCCATGAACAGCAACACGGGCATCATGCTATCATATGACTGATACTACTCAAGCTTTGCCATTACAGAGAATTAAGATATCGTGTCTCTTAACTTCAAATATGACTACCTAATCGCACGCTATAGACACTTACAAAGCAACCTGGTTGCCGGCAGACATAGGGCAAGTTGAGATACCCTCGCAGACTTTTTACAGTTTACCTCTATTCTCTATTATCAACCGTTTGTCTGCGACATGGTCAAGATTGAATCGAGATAAAAATTAGCTTATTTCTTTTTGCATTTAAAGTTAATATATTATATATTAACCTATGGCAAAACCATGCTGAATTATGAATTGGTATAGCCGTTAAAACGTGAAAATAAAATAAATAAACATATTGATTTTCATTTATTACATAAGACAAATTAAAGTAACCCCTTCGAGAGCAAAATTCTATAAAAAAATATAGTTCTGTCCATCTCAATTCAAAGACTAAATAATTTTTGCCTACATATTCATTTTGGCTTTAATGAAACTTTGAATATATTATATAATGGTAAAAAAAATGTTTTCAGGAGCATAAAGAAAACATAACTTTTATTCAAATAAAATCTCTCTTGGTTCTGCAATCTACATCTACGTGGCCTGTAGAATAAAGAGAATAAGAATTATTTAAAGATTTATTCGGATTTCGAAACCAATAAACAAGAAAATCAAACAATTGTACTAAGTACCTAAACTTTTTACGGTATTCTGTGAATATTAACTACTATAAAATAAAAATAGTAATAAAATTTAAATCATTAAGTATATAATTACTTGAGTACTAAAATAAATCAGCCATAGTAACCACACCACTTCCTAAAAACAGCACCCAACTTCAAGCTTTCAAACTTTCAACCCTACTTCAAGAGTAGGTACCTCCTATACCTAATTTATTTTCGAGTTTCATATTCAACGAGTAACGCTTTTGTTTAATATTGAATGCATCTTATGAAACTATTAGAAGTGAAGTGAGAGTTATATTCATCTGCTTGCATAATATGAAGATCACCATGAAATATTCAGTGCGAGGTAGTAAGAACATGTAAAAAATCTTTACGATTGCTCATGGATCCCAATCCATATATTTCAATACATTAAATACTAACAATATTTACATAATGAAAATAATTCGACTGATTTTAATTTTTTTTTACATTTCATGATAATTTTACTATATACAATTCGATCACAAATCATTATTGTAACATACGTACCCATGTTAGTACCTATTATAAAGCATTTAAAGGCATTTTGCAAATCATCCTTGTACCTATTCATCTTTACCCTGTGCTATTTGTCACATGTCAGTCTATGAAATCAGTGTTTGTTAATCAGTTAGTTAATCAGTTTTCAAAGAGTCCACAATATTACTTATCCACCGAATTTTAGCTTCAATACATACTTTATTTTCTATTTGCGATGACTTGGTTTAACTAGATTCAGCAAATAATATTTTTACATCTGTAATATTAACAATATGTGTATTTCTGTATCCGACAGTAAACTTGTAAGACTCTCAAGTAGTTACTAAATTACTTAAACACCTGTGTGTTACAAGAGAAATGTAAATTACCAAACAGACGGCTTTAAAATATTCCTTTTAAAGTTTTATGTTATTGAAATGACCAGTATTACATCCAGAGACCATTGCTTACTGCAGCTTGTATACATATTCATATCTCTCAAGTTCTTGAACCAAAAGCGAGATAAAAGTAGTTTTACTGCTTCGGAGCAAGTAAGATGGTAGAAACTCGATCAAGCGTTACCGTAGAGTAAACGAGACAGAATATAGAAAGCAAAGAGTGTGAGCAAGAGGGACAGTAAATCAGAAGGCTTTTACGGTAGAGCGAACAACGCAGTGAAATGTGGGCCCGCTTGCCTTCTTTTTCGATCTCGCTTGAATAAATTGATTCTGAGATTAATCTTTTGTAGATGCTTTAACTTATTTATTTTTTGTTTAGTTTGTATCAGCAAAAGGTTTCATATTAGCAAGTAACTAGTGCTATTTTTAGTGAATAATTAATACTTAGAAGTATGTGTTTATAATCTACAATTAATTATACTCAAAAATATATTAGATAGTTGTCCCACATTACGTCAATTCTGGTAAAGGTGTCTAGATCGGGAATACAATCTTAATTTACAAAATTTCATTCAAATCTATTCAGTAACTCTATATAAGAGAGAACTGTTAAATTGGTACTCAAGATGCTTTTTTTATATTAATACTAAAGTACAATTAACCTAATCATAAAGAAATCAACTAGCATAGTATGGACATGGCATAAGGAGGAGCAAAGATCATGTTCAAGAATAATTCAATGCGATTGTGAGTTTTACAATTAGGTGATCAAAATATAAGCAGGAACATAATTAAATCACATAAAGTCGCAGACGCCGGAAACTTTATGAAAACATTCGTATACACACCGAGTAATAAAATGAAACGTCAGTTTTATTGTCCCAAGTCATTATAGTTTAGATGAAAATAGTCAGACCAATCATAAATCTTAGAATAGAAATCTTTCCAGAGTCGTTATTAGTACAAATAAACGGTGTAGCAATATGGTAATAAATGTATCTACAATATTGACAATAATTTCTACTACGTACAAAAAATACATATCTTTTATTGAAATTCGGTCAAAATTTTCATTTTTGATATCACCTAATTAAAACTGATTTCCATAAACTTAATCTGCCCAAAAATGCATAGGTTGCACAGGTTAATTTAGTCAAAATAGAATATATAGTATTTATTACACGCATATTAATTCATAATTATGTTTTAAATGAAAGTTCTAAAAGAACATATATATATATTACTATTTTGACATATATTTTTTAATTTAATGATAAACAAATACCGTTGTCATTAACATGCCATAATAATGATTGAATCCGAAAAGCCAAAAATTTGGTAATTTAAGTATTAAGTTACAGTCTACATTGTCTCATGTCTCTATTATATATACCAATTTTGACAGTATATCTAAATAATCATCTCTCCTTTGGCTATTACAATATATTAAGTAACCTTAAAATAAAATACTATAAAAAATACAATTACTTAGATTGTTGAGTTTAGAACACGAATAGAAACAACAAATTTAGATAGGAACTACTTGAAAGAATCAGATTTGAAGTTGATTTTTAAGACAAAAATGTTTTTTAAGAAATATATATTAGTAGTATACTGATAAAACTAAATAGTAGTTATCGTGAGAAGATTTACTGATGTATTATAATTAGTTAGTGGAATCAAAGTAGAGCTACTTCATCAAGTATGTTTCTCGTTCCATAAATCTAAATGAATTAAAAGAGCAGGTGACCGTTAATTAACTCACAGTTCAATATATCTATTTTCACACTTGGTCGTTACGTGGTACTTAATTGAATCTAATAATAGTATTGTAAATCCAAACTATTATTTTAATTTTAAAAATGTAACTTTTCACGACTAAATAAGTATATAAACGATTGAACGGATTTAAATGAAACTTGATATGAAGATTGTATGATAAAGACGGAAATAGACTATATTCTAGATAAAAATATAATCTAGAAAGAAATGAGATAGGAGATGTAAGTTTGTGGAGATCTAATGCCGTGTTACAGCCAGTATTGTATATTTTGAAAGACCTTATTGTTAGGTGTTCTAAATATATCTAATTAATAATGAACATTAACTTGACCTCCGATGGACCTTATTGTTTTATACCCTATATTATACGTCAATGACATAACCAATCAAATCTGTCCTTTTTAGATCACAGAACTATATTCTATGATAAATAAGCATAGTGAATGCCGGAGGGCAAATAATAATTAGTATAATAAAACAAAAACTACTACTATCAAAAGCATCATGCTAATGCCATTTTTTGTTTTCCTTTCAGATGTTTTTAAAGCGTGATGTCGGACAACGGTGGAACAGTTGTATCACGGGCTTCTACACCACGCCCTGTTTCTGATACACCCGTCACTGCACCTTTACGATCCAGACATGATCAATTTCTCACAAGTTCTGCAGATAGAGCCCAACAAAGACCATCTTCTAATGGAAGAAATCCAGGCAATAGTTTTGAATCACCCCCATTACCCTACCATCGACAGATGACATCTGGTTCCTTATTAACAGCGTCCCATCGAGAATCTTCGGCTTTTGTTCCTGTAGTACCGACAAGATCCATACATCCCGTCATTTACCCTAATGAAATGCATCCTGCATTAATACCTTCCGAAATTATGGAACGAGAAAGAATATTGGATAGAGATCGTACTGAATCTGCAAAGGGATCTCCGGATAGAGCAACAGCGAATTTCCCAAAACGGAACTTTGATTTAATGGCTATGATGGTTGAAAAAAGAAAAGAAGTGGCCCTTCGTGAGGCTGCAGCGGCTATGCTACTGCCACATCATAGAACACCATCTATTGATGGCATGATCTCTGATGGATCAACACAATCCCCAATATACGGTCCACCAGGTGCATATCTTGGTGCACCAGGTCCATCCCCAACAACGCCCGGCAGTTTCAGTTTTCCCGGAGCTGGATTATTTCCACCTGGAGCAGGCCCACATCAAATGCATCCTCACTTAGATCGCCGATTGCTTAGAGCACCAGGAAGAGCGTCAAGACCTAAAAAACAATTCATATGTAAATTCTGCAACAGACAATTCACAAAATCCTACAACTTGCTCATCCACGAAAGAACTCATACAGATGAACGACCATACTCCTGTGACATTTGTGGAAAAGCATTCCGAAGACAGGACCACTTACGAGACCACAGGTATGTAATTTTGTATTAAAACACTAAAACCTATTCACTGTGACTAATATAATTATGACATAAATTGTATCTGTTGTATAGAATATGAACTTCCTTACATTTTAATTTTCTACAACACTGATTATGGTATAAAGACCTAATTTATATGCCCGTAACAGGCAGTCGGTGTAAGTCAAGTTGCAGATGTGAAGCCAACTGTGGCTGCATCCGCCCGGCTACTAGGAAATGAAATATTTATAAGTCTCTCGATAATAGTGCTAGTTTCTCGGAAATAAGTCTATCTTGATTAATAGTAAAAGGTGGTTGTACTTTCCAACGTACGAAACACGGCCATCAGTCTCGAAGCATGTAGAAAAAAATCTCAGGGACATCGCTGCGCATACCATTTGCTGAGCAACGGTTGAGCTATTGGTCAGTTTTACTGATTGTAGATAAGAATAGGATGATATACAGGCGTTTCGGTTCAATTATGACAGATAGAAATGAACAGATTGACTTTTTAATATATTATCAATTTGAGATGATTTTATTTGTAAATGAGTCTTATTGACTTGTTTAAATGCATGTACTTACATTTTATTTTAAAGTAATATTTAAAAAAGATAATTGTTTAACTGTAAAAATACAATAAGTATAGCTAAAGGGAAATCTTGCAACAAATGTTACAAATGCTGATCAATAATTATATTCCATATTAAATTGGTTTAATTTTATAAATATTTTTGCTACCAATAACTTGAGATTGTGTATCCGAATCTCAAATTATTTGTAGCGAAACAAATTTTATTTAGCCAAAATCAAATTGATTTTAATACCTGTATCTTAACAGGACATAGCTACGTTTTGTATGTGAATAGTATAGTGGACATAGCTAGTTTTGAAAAGTGTATCCAATAACTAAATACTATTTTAAAATTCATTTATCATTTAATTACAAACCCGTTTTCAATCAAGGTAATAAATAAAGGAATTTGTATTTTTATTCCATCATAATCATCATCATTGTTATTAAGTGTTATAGGTTTCGGATGCAAAATTATTACCGTCAGTATAATACTACTTTATGTCGTAAATTACAATTTGTGTTCTATAGAAGATTGGAATTGAACGAATGTCTATATGGTTATAATATTTGATTAACAATTTTAGATTTAAATCAAGAGTTACTAAATAGTTAAACACTCTTTACGACAGATAGATCACGAGTTTACTACTATCCACTTTTAAATTATGTATTTCGTAAGTTATTTCTTTATTTTCTTCTTCATTTTTAAATTCACATTTATTTAACTGCAACTTATTACTCTTACTTTTAAAAAATCTAACATTCCATAGTGATGCAAAATTCTAACTAAAAAATTCTAACTTTCATGATAGTGTGTGCACGTGGATGATGATGATGATATGGAAAACAATATTTACTTTACATTTAATTATTATTAATTAAACCTATATTTTAACAAAGAAGTAGCGATATACTGTAGCAACTATTCTAAAATGCTTCAGGTTGTAAATGTCGTTTAGTTCCCATCAAATAAAAATAGTCATAAAATTAACCATAAAAATATCGGCAGCCTAGACCGATTTTGAAGGAACCGACTCGGACTATTCGTCTCACATTAACTTACACGTTTCTTTTTTTACTTTTCGATCGTAATTAGTTTAAATTCTGATGACTCATCGTATTCTATTGGTGCCGGTTTGGTAATAGAAGTTTGTACGGTCCACAAAGCTGAATTTAATGGAACGCCTTTCCTCATGGAAGTAGTATTGCTTTTTTAATTTAGAGGGCAAAGCAACTTGATTCTGATGCCAGTAAATTATACAATGTATACCTACTCGTTATTTACTAAAAAGCCTGTAAATCATATATATCCATTATTATAATGCTTTTTCAATATAATATTTTATATTATAATGTGTGTTAGTTTTAGACGATAGTACAAAATGATTTTAAATAATAAAATAAAATATCACAATGGAAGATCCTTTTTAATGGATTAGAGACTATTTGTAAATTTATTTTGAGCATTATAACAACTTTTTAGTTTGTACACTTACCAAAATCCCTATTAACAGCTATGACATTTTTAATTATAGTTATTAAAGTTTTTATATTCCACAAGGATAGACAATTGGGATAATTTTATTAAATTATTATTATTTAGTCTAATAAACTTTCACTGCTGACGGTATAGACTTTAGTTCTTTTAAGGCAATTTAATATTTCCCGTTCAAATAATTTTGCGTTATCATTGTAGAATTGCCAAAAGTCATTGAATAAGTCGTGAGATCGTGACAAAACACTTACTTAGTTATAGCTTTAAACGCCAGCATAAAACGGTACAGGATAAAAACAATTGTTATATTTTCTATACTAATATAATGAAACCAGGACGAAAATGCGATCAATAAATTTTTTTTTTTTAATAATTTGTCAGTATAATTTATATATTGAACTACAATATGAAACTAAAATAACTGATTTGATCGTAGATGCTATTTCGATGATAATACCTACTTATAAACCAAATCTTGTTTTTTGAGAAACCTACAAAAATAACTGTTTTAAATTATGCATTTAATTACTTAGAAATACTCATATAAGTTTTCAAATTTATATTTGTAACACCATAGTAAAATACTGATTTTTGAAACGTAAATCAATGGTGCTGTAATGTAAATCAATATTTAATTAATTTATTTATTTATTTATTTACATTGTACTAAGTGAGCTTTACAGTCTCCCAATATGCCCACTTAGGAAAATAATATACAAAAACACACAATTATAAACACTAATTACACAAGGAAACAAAAAGAGAAAAAAAAACAATAATAATAATAATACCTAATCTCCATATAACATACTAGATAATAATAGATAATACAATATGTCTTATATTTTATTAAATTAAATAAAAACTAAGAAATCATAACTGCATATAATGAAATTTCTTTAGATCTATAGACCTATCAAAAAATATTTATTACTTTATAAATAAGTATATGCACCTAACTAAGCAAATAACTTGAAATGGAGGCACGGCGGTAATGCAAAGGTTCACTTACTTTTTTGTCGCATGCATTATTACGTTATGATTGCCTTTATAATCGAGATGCATCGCACAAAGCATGCATAATGCCATGTTATTATACCCTGTGCCGCAATTAATAACTCCAAGAAAAACCTACGCCTTTGACCCATCAAGGACAGACTTGAACGCTTATTTCGTTATTCTGCGAAGCATTTAACAAAAACCATGGCAATTTTTGATACTCGACGATGGCTGTACGTAATAAAATACAAATAATATAGAATTATAAAATGGATATGAATATGTAACAGGCAGTTACTCAGTTTCATTACATAAAATATACGGAAACTTTAATTACTTGGTCTTATCGAAAATTGAACGTGAGATGATCGATCTGTAATTAAAAAAAATTAACCAATGGCTTTCAAGGAATATTTATCAGGACTAATCTATGTATGGTATAATTACTTGAATATAAAATATTATATACTGCAATAGTAACTTTTTCAGACAATTTCAAGTAGGTAATAACAGCATGGTGTTTTATTCAATGCATACTTTAAAACAAAGTAACTAGTAATATTATAAAATTATCTTTAACACTCATTCTTTAATTACCATATATATCGTAGCATGCTTGGGAACTACAAAAAAATATATATCTAATATCCAAAGAGCTGTGAACGTCTGCCAGAACGCATCTGTAAACATTTTTTTAAATCTGTAAATTTTTTTTATTGTGTTATTAGAATCTAGATACTTTCAGCCAGATTCACGTGTCTTTGAATAGCACCTAGTTATGTGATCGTGGTCTAATGATTTACTCCTCCGACTCACACCCAAAAGCTGGCAATTTCAAATTTGCCTGACAGCAAAAAGAACTTTGTGTGTCAATTTAAATTTCTGACTGACAGTACGGTTAAGGAAACCCCGATAACAAAACCAAAAATTAATCTGAAAGACGGCGGTACAGTCTCACCTGCCATATTGGATTGAAGAATGTCCAGCGAAATATGGGCAGTAAAGAATTGCATTTAAAATGACATTGATAATTGACAACCTTTTGGACTATCCCATCCAGGATAACAGTCTTGATGGTATGTCTTTTTACGTAGCTATAATATTTATAACATAGAGTAGACGAGTAGAATCAACAAACGGAAATTCTGATCTTCCCCAACGGTAATGACTACTAACGCTTACATTTTTATTACTAGATATAGTTACAACCAATCAACGGTGCCACAGAATTCCGTCCATTAATAAAAACTCGTTGATAGTCGTTTTCCATCTCAAATGAGATGTGGTCAAACATAAGTATACAAACAACAACATTTACACCATAAACCTGTATTGAGTTGCGAGTTATAATACAACTACGTACCGCCATTAATATAACTATACCACAGACACGTGTAACATGTTACACTAGTATCATTAATTTTCTACTGCAAGATAGGGCAATTTCTTTTAAGTAAAACTGGTCCCTATTACATTTTGTGGAAGCACATTTTACTATAACTCGCTTTATGCACACTGTAAGTGTCTGTGACTTATATATTTTATATTAAATTAATATGTATGATAATATATGTATGTATGTATACATACATATATTAAACATAATTAATTAATAAAGTTATATTTAGATACAAAGCGATTTACTAATAATTTGCTTTCGCTTAGAAACTTTTTACTCATTAAACTAATTAATTGTATTGGAATATAATTTTCATATTTTAATATTTCTATAATAATTTATTATGTAATTGTTTTTAAAAAAATTTATTTTTTGTTAATTTTTATTGATATGTTTATGCATAGTATATACATATTCATAACTTCATAATGTTATATTATTCGTTTGTTTTTTTTTTTATTTTTGGTACAAATATGTGTATAAATATATCGCCACGTTTTTACCGTACCGAATTTTGCGGTTCTATTACTATACACAAAATT